TTGATCTAACCTTTTCTCTAGTTCCTGGTCCCCTTCTCCTATTGGCCTCTGTTGCTTTTAAGGTATCTGCTTTAGTTTCTCTGCATTAAGGGCAACAAATGCTAGCTAATTTTTTAGGTGTCTTACCTATCCTCACCCCTCCCTTGTGTGCTCTCACTTTTATCATGTGCTCATAGTCCAATCCCATTGTTGTGTTTGCCCTTGATCTAATGTCCACATATGAGGGAGAACATACGATTTTTGGTCTTCTGGGCCAGGCTAACCTCGCTCAGAATGATGTTCTCCAATTCCATCCATTTACCAGCAAATGATAACATTTCGTTCTTCATGGCTGCATAAAATTCCATTGTGTATAGATACCACGTTTTCTTAATCCATTCGTCAGTGGTGGGGCATCTTGGCTGTTTCCATAACTTGGCTATTGTGAATAGTGCTGCAATAAACATGGTGTGCAGGTGCCTCTGGTGTAACCTGTGTCACAGTCTTTTGGGTATATCCCCAAGAGTGATATTGCTGGATCAAATGGTAGATCAATGTTTAGCTTTTTAAGTAGCCTCCAAATATTTTTCCAGAGTGGTTATACTAGTTTACATTCCCACCAACAGTATAAGAGGGTTCCTTTTTCCCCTACAGCAAACCTTTTATAACTTGCTTTTACTCTCTTGGTTTGTCCCTGTCTAGTTTCCCTTTGGAACAATCCTTTAAGACAAAACTTTATTTTACCATGTAAAAACCTTTTTATACGTAGACTGTCCTCTTCTAACTTTCTTACACCTCCTCATGCCCTACCATATTCCATCATTGTATCTAGCATTAACTCCAATACATTCCTTCTGCATTGTGCCTTCTGGGTTTGTCCTTACCTGCCTGTAACAATCCTATGCTTTAAGAACAAAATCTTATTTACATCCAAAGTCCATTCATATCCAAAAATGCTCTTTTTCTTTATTACTTCTTTGTATCTTCTTGTCTCTTCCTTACTGGTTCCTTTTTTACCTTATCTTTTTAACCCAAACTATATTTATGGCAAAAAGGAAACATAAACATAACCTGTCCACACATGGCTTCAGATATTATGTAGACTTAGTTACTGCCTGGGTTTTTAAAAGGGTCCCTTTACACATATTCCACCCTTTTGTCTTACATGATTTTACAGAATATTACATTCCACTAAGATAACAAAACTTCCAAATGACCTTGAACACTAAAACTATCAGAACAAGCAAGAAGGCAGAAAGCAGGGGGAAAAAAAAAAAGACAGCCCCAAAATTCATGTGAATCCTGTAGTTGCAGTTTAGGATGTAAAAGGCAAATTAATGGGTATGTATTTGGTCTTTTTAGGCACAGGAAAGAAAAGGAAGAAGAACTAGGGGGAAACATAAGACACTGGGGTGGAACAGAAGATGCTCCTGCCACCTCCCTCAAGGGTAAGAGTCTTTGCAGAGCATCTGAATAGGAGGTCACACTGTAGGTGTGAAGTGAGCTCAAGAGGCTCTGATTGATTCAGGGTTCATAGGGGAATTTTGATAGGTGATGTTCCTCCTTAGAGACAGGAGGCAGTCCCTCAAGGGTAGGATAGTATTATAGGATAAGTTTCCTTTTTTTGGCTACTGTTCTTGTTTTAATTTATGTTGGGGCCAGGCAACATTACAGAAAAAGATCAGGCTTTGTTTTTCTTTAAGGTCGCAGGTCAAAGTCCTTCTACTGGTTGAGAATGCACCCAGGTGGAGGGTCTGCTGGAGGTAGAGGGGATTCCTCCCATTGTGATCTGTAGGGGAAAGGAGATTTCCATAGCAGCTAGAATGATCCGCTAGCTACCTTCAGGAGTATCTGCCTGGGAAGTCAGGGTTCTGGATCTGGGCATGCCCCTATGATCCTCATCCTTAGGTAGCCAGGCATCCCTGGCCTTTAGTGGTAGTCACTGGTGCCACTGAGCTGAGATTTCTATAGCTGAAATGGCCTCCACAGGCAATGTCTACCTCTAATCTTAAATTCCCCAGGTAAAGGGCTCAACTTTTGGTATCTGCCCAATTATATTTTTTCTTTGGCTAGTAAACTTGAGCAAACAAAAATCTAATCATTCCCAACAAAAGTACAATGGCATCTCCCAAATCTTCCACCCTGAACAGTGTTCCCCTGACAAGGCCTGCATTAGGTTAAAAAAAGAAAACTGTTTCAATGAGACTTTCCCAAGCCTGGAGTAAATCCTCCCTCTGTTGTATGAGCCTTAAAATGGGGGTTGTTCAGAGGCACAGGCAAAGCAAATTTCTGTTCCCTGCTCTCCCAAGTGAAGAGGGAGGGAGAGCTTTCATATGTGGGCCTCAGAGCAGCCTTCCTTTCTCCAAGGGAAGACCTAACTGCTTTCTTATATATGAAGGGTATTATAAATGTTACAGATTAGGATTACTAACATTCTGGTATCAGACTACCTGGCATTAAGCGTCACTCTGTCACTTGCTAGCTAAGTACCCCTTGAGAAAATTAATTTACTTCTTTAAAGCTAGTCGCTTTATCTATAAATTGACGATAGCATTAGTACCTGCCCCCTAAAGCTGTGTAAATGAGGCAGTGGTAAAGCACTTAGCTCAGCGCCTGCTACTTAGAAAATACATACTAATATAATATGGGGAGATACATTTTTCACTTAAGGAAAAGACCTTGATACAGTGCTTAGGTAAACTGAAAGTTGAGAGACAAGAAAAGATGGCACTTAATAAAGGTACTTTACAATGATAAAACCTAATGATTTTGTTTCAACAGGTATCAAGCTATAATTTTTTTGTTCTGTTGCTATTTTTATAGTATGGAAAATTCCAAACATTCTAAAAATATAAGAGCTTGATAGAGCAGTGAACCAATGTGTGATGCCTGTTAGATTCAAAAATAATATGATATATGGCTGGTCTTTATTTTTATAACTTCTTAAAAATCATGAGATATTTCACATATAAAATTCGCCCATTTGGATATACCCAAAAGACTGTGACACAGGTTACACCAGAGGCACCTGCACCCCCATGTTTATTGCGGCACTATTCACAATAGCCAAGTTATGGAAACAGCCAAGATGCCCCACCACTGACGAATGGATTAAGAAAATGTGGTATCTGTACACAGTGGAATTTTTATGCAGCCATGAAGAAGAATGAAATGTTATCATTCGCTGGTAAATGGATGGAATTGGAGAACATCATTCTGAGCGAGGTTAGCCTGGCCCAAAAGACCAAAAATCGTATGTTCTCCCTCATATGTGGACATTAGATCAAGGGCAAACACAACAATGGGATTGGACTATGAGCACATGATAAAAGCGAGAGCACACAAGGGAGGGGTGAGGATAGGTAAGACACCTAAAAAACTAGCTAGCATTTGTTGCCCTTAACGCAGAGAAACTAAAGCAGATACCTTAAAGCAACTGAGGCCAATAGGAAAAGGGGACAGGACTAGAGAAAAGGTTAGATCAAAAAGAATTAACCTAGAAGGTAACACCCACGCACAGGAAATCAATGTGAGTCAATGCCCTGTATAGCTATCCTTATCTCAACCAGCAAAACCCTTGTTCCTTCCTATTATTGCTTATACTCTCTCTACAACAAAATTAGAAATAAGGGCAAAATAGTTTCTGCTGGGTATTGGGGGGGAGAGGGAGGGGGTGGGGGCAGGGGGGTGAAATGACCCAAGCCTTGTATGCACATATGAATAATAAAAGAAAAAAAAAGAAACAGTGTGAATAAAGGCACTGTTATTTAAATAAGTAAATAAATAAATTTCTAATGAAAATCTAAAAAAAAATAAAATAAAATTCGCCCATTTGAAGTATACAATCTGATAACTTTTGCAATGTACCTAGTTGTCAACCATGGAGATAAACTGGTTTTCAGACATTTTATCACCTTGGAAGATCTGCTATCCATTTACATTGATTCCAGTTTTCACCCTCAGCACTAGGCAACCACTGATCTATGGTCTATCTCAATAGATCATCTTTCCTGGACATTTTATGTAAATGAATCATGCAATATATGGTCTTTAGTTTCTGGCTTCTTTCATTTGGCATAATATTTTTAAGGTTCATCTTGTTTTACATGTATTGGTAGTTTTTCTTTTTTTGGTGTTTTCTTGTAGTACTGGGAATTAAACCCAGGGCTTTTCAAATGCTAGGCAAGTGCTCTACCACAGAGCAACATCCTCAGCCCCGTAGTTTTTCTTGCTGAATAATATTACATTGTATAGATGATAACACATTTTGTCTATTCATCATCGCACTCTTTCATCATCTGTATTTTTATTCCTTCTCTGTTCCGTAGCCCTACGGAGTTACTCAAAAATTATTTTTAATTTCTTAAATATGATAGTTTAAAAGATTTATTACATTTATCATATGTTCCTGCTTTTTATTTTTCTGAATCATCTTCTCTACTCATTCGTATCTTTCCTGTTTTCATTTTTTTCTGTGGTTAAAAGGTTGCTTTGTAGTAAGCTTACCTTATTCATGGGTTTATTACATGGAGTTTTGGGTAATACTGGGTGTTGAACTCAGAGCTTTGCACTGAGTGTCAGAAGACACTATCTCTTGAGCCATACCTCTAGCCCTACATGGAGTTTTGACCAAGTGTGGTCAAAAAATTTTTTCTGTGTGCACATTACTCAGTTCAGTTGGTGCAGAGAAGCTCTCAGTCAGTCTCAAGTTATCATCAGTTGTGTCTCCTGAGAACTGTATACCCATGGATACTAAGGGTCTACTGTACTTTGTTTATGCCTCCATGTATCTTTTCTGTTTGTTATTATGGGTTTTAATTAAGAAAGCTTATTCCATGTACTTAAAATTGAAACATTGCATTTCATTGTCTCCTCAGTTTAACGACAATTATCTCAGTGGCAAATCCAGTCGTTGATGATTTCTAAAATTTTCTTTAGTTGCAATTAAAGATTGGCTTTATATTTCACGTTGGACTGGGTCTGTTTGTTTCTGATTCTTGTGGGTTTTTCTTTTAACTCAGGTTGTAGGAAGAGGAGCCTTTGGAGTAGTTTGCAAAGCTAAATGGAGAGCAAAAGATGTTGCTATTAAACAAATAGAAAGTGAATCCGAGAGGAAAGCTTTTATTGTAGAGGTAAGTGGAGAGGTCATTTCTGTTGGGTAATTCTTTATCTGAAATACTCTAAACTTAATATTGTGAAAGACATTGCTTCTCAATGTCCTCTCACTATATGCATGAACATCAATTTAGTTGAGCCCAAGATAGTGCCCTAGAAACATTTTTTCATTCACACTTTTAATTCATGTTAAAAATTATAGGTAAAGAGAATTACTATTTAAATGGATTTATCCCAGAATTAAAATTCATACTCATCCAAGGAATTAAAAACTTTCAAGGCATGGCACTCTAATTTTGAAATAGAAGAGAGATGATTTTCTCTCTTATTATCTAAAACTAAGAATGGAAATTTTATGAATTTTTAGCCGAATTTTTTAGAAATTCAGATGGGATTATTTTAAGGAAAAAATAGTTGCAACTTTGGTTTTCCCTCATTTAGCATGAAAATTTACTTTTTTAAGATTTTTTTTTTTTTTCAATACTGGTGTTTGAACTCAGGGCTTTGCACTTGCCTGGCAGTTGTTCTACCACTTTGAACCATGCCTCCAGTCCAAAGTTTCCCTTCCTTCACAAATGAAATGATGGAGGAAAGCTTAGTAATCTTGAGATTATCATATTAGCAGGTTTATTTATTTTTTATTGACTTTATTATTTCAGTAAATCAATGTTTTTATTGCTTTTAATCTCATTGGCCAATGGATAAGTGACCTCTGCCTTATAAACCTTTTGAATTTATTTCTCTGTTTTCGTCTAATCAGGATTTCAAAATATACTTCATGAAATTTTTAAATATATAGTATAGAGAATTGAGAACTTAATTCTGAAATGATGATGTGGTTTAGAAATGGCTGAATCTGTTAAGAAATGCAGATGAATGTTTTAATGCCGTCGTAAAGGAAGATGATATTTAATAATATGCCTAGAAGTCTGAATCCTTAGTTAGGATTTTTGTTTGTAGTTAAGATAAGGTCATTGATGATATATTCTCCTACTGGCAGTTTCACAGACCTGGGTGAAATAGCATGTGTTACATGCTAGAAATAGGGAATGATAAATGATAATAGCATGGAACAAAAGTTTAATCAAGACTATACATGCATGTAGTTTGAAGAGTCAAATGGGATATGGAGATGTAGCTCATGGTAGAGCACTTACCAAGCATGTTTAAAAAAAATTAAAAAGTCAGACACTTCTGCAAAGCTTCTTAGTAAAGAAACTTCAACCCATTGTACTTCCTCCCATCTAATTTTCTGTTTCCCAAAGACAACTATTCTGAGCTTATTCCTTCATTAATGTTTGGTATCCTCCAATCTAGATGCTGATTGCTGTATCTCCTTTAAAGAGTTAACCTCTAGTTCTCTGCTAGAATAGAGTGAGATAGTCACTAGGTTGTTGAAATCAAGGAAAGCATCTTTGGGTTTAACTTTCAACTGCTTTCCCTCCACCCCCCTTTATTAGCTCCTTCCTCTCATCTCTTGGAGATTTTGTGAAATAAATCTGGTTGCATCTTAGTTTTCTCATTGCTAGCTCATGAAACAGCCATTAGATCTGCTGTATCGGTTCCTATTGCTCATTAGCTTTCTAACTTCCAAAAATGTGTGCTATTGTCTCATTTCACTCCTTTGAGTCAAGGCTTAAAAAATAAAAAGCCTTCATCATCTTAGTGAGTTTTAAAGAGGGAGTAGAAATAATTGCTTAAATAATCTTCTATCTGAAGTGCAATGCTGAATCTTACCAAGTTGAAACATAGTAAATATATATTACATATAATAAATAGAGTAAATAGTTTTATTAACTTTTCTATTAGGACCAAAAATCCACAGATGTTGGCTGTAGAAAAAGAAAGCTTTATAGTAGCATGTAGTAGAAAAGTTTAGAGACCTTAATGGACTTAATGAGTCGGCAGCTTAATGTAGGTAATAGGGAAGAAGGAAAAGGAAGAGGAGAAGAAAAAAAGATATAGAGAAGAAAGAGAGCAAGGAACAGTTTTATGAGGGGGGGGCTACATTAATAGAATTTTGAGATGTAAAACAAGGGAAATGAGTACAGCAAGACTCCTTACTAACTCTGTTAATTACTGGATTAGAGAAGATTCAGACTGGAAGTAAGGAGGCCACCTAGAAGAAGGCTACAGAAATTACAGCAGCATTTCAGGTTGACATTTCTAAGTCAATGAGAATAGAGAGGAGGGAATTACTTCAAGAGATAGAAGTGGAATTGTAGACAACTATGCACAAAGAGTACACATTTTAAGACAAATAAACCAGAGTTCAAGTCCTGGCTGTAGGATTTTCAGCATCTCATGTATTTCTTTCTAGGCCTTACCTTTAAGGTCTCATCTTTAAGATAGAATGGTAATACACCTGTATGCAGGTGTGTGGTTTATTGCAGAGTTGGAATAATTGTACATACCTATGAAGTAAAATGTAAAGTAGGTAGACTATTCAGCCCTAGCTATGAAGATGATGATAACAAAAGTAACAGTGGTTTCTAGTTCAGATAACTCAGCTCAACACTGTCTCTGGGATAATGCTCTAACAGTTTTTGGCAGAGTAGTTTCTTCATGTATTCATCATGCTTTGCTCATAACTCCTATCAATGCACTTTGTACATGCTTTAGTTACTAATTTGCCTGCCTGTTAGTTCCCATTGGAGGGCAGTGATTCTGTACCGTTCCGGACACTTGGTGTTTCCAGTGCCTGTGACCATAGTGCTTACTACATGGTAACTAGTGATCCCTTAATGATTTAAACAAATGTTTTGTATGACAATTATCACTTTTAATAGAAGGCTTAATTTCTTACAGCTTCGGCAGTTGTCCCGTGTGAACCATCCTAATATTGTAAAATTGTATGGCGCCTGCTTGAATCCAGTAAGTTCATCACTTTTTCATTGTCATCTTGTCTATGAGAAATGACATGGCAGATGTATGCAGGTGTGTGGTTTATGAAGCTATTTTGATCTGCTATCTTAGCTGTATTTCTGAAAATGCTGTTGTACTTAATGCATTTATTTCTAGCCTTTTTAGCAAAACAGTATACTATAGGAGTTGTTTTAGTTAGTCTTATCCTATTAGCTCATCTTCTTATAAGACTTTTAGTATCTCATGACAGCATCTACTTCTTAGTCCTGGAGAAAGTTCCAAGAGCTACAATTATGTTGATATGAATGTACATCACCACTTGACCTAAGTCCTTGTCTTAGGTCAAGGTCTTAAAAATCATTTCTTTCTCTCATGTCATTCACATAGTAGAGAACAAAAGAATAATTTTTAATGCATCTATAAAGTCAAGGGATTGAATTCAGTTGTCTCTGCAGAGCCCTGAGACACTGTAGTTCTGGTTAATGCTGACATATGTTTCCTTTAGGTGTGTCTTGTGATGGAATATGCTGAAGGGGGCTCTTTATATAATGGTGAGTGTCATTAAACCTGTGTTTATCTAGTAGAGTCAAATAATTTGAAAGCTTTTAATATAAACTGTGCATTATTTAATGTTCTTCACAATTTACCATCAGAGTTTCAAAAGAAAGTAATTCTTTTAAAAATTGTTGGAGATTAAAAATGAAAACAAGAAAAATGCTACAATTTCACATTAGTATGTGAAATTTGGAAGTCTATCACATTTTTCAATTGATGGTACTTTTATTATGCTAAAAGCATTTAATTAATATAAAATTTGCTTTTTAAATAGATTTTAAAATATCTTAAATTTTTTTCTTTTTATTCTCTTTTACCTTTGAGCTTCCTAATTTTAGAACTCTTTAACCATACTTCCATTTCACTCTGCTTTATTTTGCTTTCTTTTCAAAAACACTATTGGGGCCAGGTATTGAAGACATGGTGGTTCAAGCCTGTAATCTTAGCTACTTGGTTGGAGAGCTCAGAAAGATTGTGGTTTGAGGCCAGCCTGAGCAAAAGTTCATAAGAGCCTATCTCAGCCAATGGCTGGGCACTATAGTATATGTCTGTCATCCCAGCTACATGGGGAAGCACAAATAGGACTGCAGTTCTGGCTGGCCTGAGCATAAAGCAAGACCCTATTTCAAAAATAACCAATCAAAACAGGCTGGTGGAGTGGCCCACGTGGTAGAGTGCCTGCCTAGCAAGTTCAAGGCCCTCAGTTCAATCTCCAGTTCCACAAAATCAAAAACCAAAAAAACCTAAAGTTGTGAAAACTCGCTTCCTGGAACATTTGCACTGTAACAATGAAAGCAAACTTTGTGTGCCTTTTATTACTTTTATAGAGCAAAGCTTTTTCACCCTAAAAATACCAACCTTGTATATAAATGTATTGTCTCTTATAGCACCAATTATATAAAATAAATTATTGCATTTACTTTTAAATTAACTTTTAAAACATTTAGTCATATTTGCTGCTAATGTGTTCCCCATTGTTAATGTGTGTCTAGTACTTCATTGTTTTGTATGGTTGAACATAAGAGTTTTTAGCTATTACAGACAGTTCAGTTGTAAACATCTTGGTATACCCATCTGTTTATATACTGTTTCTCTCCTATCATGGTATGAATAAGACTGCTTGTAATTTATGTTAATGTTTGAAAGACCTTATCTATTTGAAAAAGTATAACAATGTGTATTAATTTTACTTGAATGGCAGTTTACTTATATGTCAGTTATCCACTCACCAATGATTGTTAAATATTTCTATCTCTTTTATTTAGAGATAAAAATAAAATAAAAGAGTTAAAAGCAGGACTAGTCAGAACATGTATAAAAAATAACCAGTCTTATGTTCTGACAGTGCTTGCATTCACATTATATCTTTGGTTATATGCAATAAAGTTCTTTTTAGTTTGTGCCTTTCTTTTGCAGTGCTGCATGGTGCTGAACCATTGCCATATTACACTGCTGCCCATGCAATGAGTTGGTGTTTACAGTGTTCCCAAGGAGTGGCTTATCTACACAGCATGCAGCCCAAAGCTCTAATTCATAGGGATCTGAAACCACCAAAGTAAGTCCAATAATGTGACACCCCCACCTCCCTCCCTCCTCTTGCCATCTTCCAACTACTCCCTGATTCAAGGTAATTGTTGTATATGACGTTCTCTTTTCCCTTTTGGCCTATTTAAGAGTGTTTATTTTGACTTATTTTCATCACTTATTTATGTTTATATTTTAGAATGTTATCTTTAGAGGGGTTATTTTTAATAACTCTTGCCTTAGATTGTCATAATTCCAGAATCTCTTAGACTATAAATCTCATTTTGTGCCTGTAGTATATGATATTGCTCCTAGATAGTTTTCTTTCATTGTTGTTGTTGTTTAATACAAGGTCTTACTGTGTAGCCCAGGCTGGCCTCAAACTCATGTTCCTTCTGCCTCAGCCTCCAGAGTACTAGGATTACAAATGCTTGCTACCACAATTGGCTCCTAGACAGTTTTCTGAGAACAAAGACAATCTGACTTATTATCCCTAACAACTAGCACAATGTCTACACACCCTAGACATTCTTCAAAAAATTTAACTGAATGTTGTACTTGTTCTTTCAAAAGAAAGCAAAGAGCATTTCTGACATCTAGGTATAAAGTGAAAAGATTATAGATTTCTCTATATTGAAAATCCTGGGACTTTAAAATTCCTTCAATAAGTGCCTTAAAAGGTAAAACTTTTAGATTTTTTTTTTATTTGTATAGGTATGCAACTAAAAAAATACATGTGAAATATATCATCCTCTTTTCTACAATTTTTTTCTCTTTTGCATATCTGCAAAAGAGTAAAAAATTCCATCCATGTCTTCTTCCCTCCACTACTGTATCAGTCTTCAGATAAGAGCTTTTGCCTAGGAAATCAGTCACAAAAGTAACAATATAGTCTTGAATTATTCAGTTCCCTTGATACTGACTTAAAGCATTAAAGCATCCCTTCTGTATTTAACTCACTGCTCTCATGTCTCTCTAAACTCTAAATAGGTTCCAAATCCTGGAATCGTTGGTGCCACTGTACCTTGTTTCTACTCCCAGGCTTAAAATGATTTCTGTTTCCTCAGGTCCCTTGTAAAATAATGTTTAAGCTTTGTATTTAGAACATTTTCTTTTTTTTCTTTTTTTCACGTGACTCCCTTGTCTTTAACTACCTGCCTTGACTAGTAAAGAAGATATTACTTAGCCCTTTTTTCCTATATTCAATCCTCTTTCCTCTTGCATTAAAATAGGGTTGAATTCTTAAAGTAGACTCATAAAAATCATAGTTCTTAACCAGATTAATCGTTGGCCATTGACTAATGATTCAAAGGATATGGGCGAGCTTCAGGCACAAAGCAGTCTCTTCCTAGAGGAGCCTGAAACCATCAGATGCAACCCCTCAACAATAACTGTTTTTATCTACATTAGGATTAGTTTTAGATAAGTGATTAGTTATAGAACAGTGCAGAGAAATATAAAAGGAAGAGACTCCCATTTCCTAACATCTTTTCTGTTGTATTAATTAAACAGCTTAGATAATTGTCGCCCATCTCCATTCAACCATATTCTATAAGTTTTAGTTTTATTTAGTCAATTCAGTTAGACAAACCAGATATAGCCATCTAAAATCTAAATGATTTCCTTTTTTCTAGTAAGTGCTACAAGTATATTCCAAGAGGTCTGGTGTGGATTATACATTCCTCTCTAGCATCTCTGTGATTGAACTCATCCAGGAGTATTGCAAATTGTTTTGGGGACACAGTATATCAGTTAGACTTTGGAATTATAATTGATTTCCCAAAAGGTACTGTAGAATAGAAAAGTTTTTGAAATGGCTATGCTTTGTATGCAATTGAGTATGCACACACATGCTGTATCTTATTGTCAGTGGAAAACCTACAGATTCTGTGATCAGGTAGTTTCCAAAATAGCATATAAAGAAGGTACCTGATGATTTGGTGAGGTATTTTACTATATATAGTATCAAGTGTCTATGTATCTTTTTCATGTTCATTCACAAGTATGTCAAAAACCAAAAATATGTTTTTACTCTCAACTTTGTGAAAGTAAGCCTACAAATATAATTTAAGTTCCGATTTTAATAAACCTTGAACTCATGTTCAGAACTGTGAACTGTTGAAGTCAATAAGTAAAGGAGCACTAATCAAAAAGTCACTTCCAACAAATTATTATGATATATTAAATGTGCAAGGATAAAACAAGGAAACTAGTTACAGAGTAATTATAATTGCCTTGGGTAAAGAATAGCAAGAGTTTGAACAAGAACAATGAGACAGGAAAAGTTTTTTTGTTAAATTACATATAAATTACACTAAGCATTTTCCCACTTGAATTATCACAGAGGTATTGGCAGTATGGAGTATGAAATAGTAGTTTAGATGGCTTTATCTGAGTCACATTGAGCTAAAAGTTAATTTCTAAATCTCTCCAGTTAGGTTTTTTTTCTTTTTTTTTTTTTTGATGGTATTGGAGGTTGAACTTAGGTCCTGATGCTCTTGAGCCACTCCATCAGCCTTTTTTGCATCAGTTTTTTTGGAGATTAGGGTCTCACTTTATGCACAGGCCTGCATGGACCATGATTCTGCTTTTTGTGCTTCCCCATGGTAGCTGTGATGATAGACATGTGCCACTGCACCCAGCCATTGGTTGATATAGGATCTTTCTAACTTTTTGCCCAGGCCAGCCTTAAACAAGAATCCTCCTGATCTCTACCTCCCGTGTAGCTAGTATTGCAGGCTTGAGCCACCATGCTGAGCCTTCAGTTAGAATTTAAGTACAGGATTATATACAAAAAGTTAATAAAATTCATAATTAAAAATGAGTCCCCAAGTACTGCTATTCGCTATAGTACGGTTATGTCAATTTTATTATCCATCTCTTTCTGTTTGTTATCAAAAACAAAATCTTCTAAGTAAAAATGTGTTACTTTGGTAACTGTGATTGGGTAGTAATACCATCTAGAGAATCTTGAGTTGAAAAAAATTTTTGGAAATCTTTCATTAGGTTATTTTAACCAGGGTAGATTTGTACTCTTCCCACACAGACATATTCTGAACACAAAAATGATTTTGGGAATGAACTTTTATAGAAGTACCTTCAAAATAAAGACATTTAAAATAAGGACCATTGCATTGGGAATGTAGCTCAGTAGTAGAGCGTTTGCCTAGCATGCACAGGCTCCTTGGTTCAGCCCCCACACCACAAAATAAAGACCATTGTTCTCCTTCTGTATTAGTTTGTTTTACTGTATTATCTTCAATTAAATTGTAGAGTAATTATTTTTAAAGTTATACATGTTTATGATTAATTCCTACTTTAGAACACCATAATAGCAACCTACAGGAAGTTCTTAAAACCCCATGTTTATTTTGGCAGAGACAAATATGGTCAGGAAAGATTATGGAGGTAGAGATGGAGACATCAAAATGTGAGTCCACTAGTCTTTCCAGGAGAGCTTTCTAAGTTACAGTCAATTAATTTTTGCTGATTTTTCTCTGAACTATGACCAAGTAATATTTTATAGAAGTTTAATAATAGCATTCATTTTGTTTAACTCTTTCCTTCTCCACAAATGTCTCTTTTGTTATAGAATCAAAAACTGACTTTGCAACTTTTGATGATTATTATTATTTTTTCATTTGTTTGTTTTTACAGCTTGCTGCTGGTTGCAGGTGGGACAGTTCTAAAAATCTGTGATTTTGGTACAGCCTGTGACATTCAGACACACATGACCAATAACAAAGGGAGTGCTGCCTGGATGGCACCTGAAGTTTTTGAAGGTATAAAAGCAGGAAATAATTGACAATCTATCTCACTCCATATGAATCCAATATGTTTATGGATTTTTCCCCATTTCTATGGTTTTATTTTTATATAGTACATAATTACAAGATTTATAATGAAGTTTTAGAAGAGTTTAAATAGATGTAGCCTAAGATCCCAAATTTTAATGACAAAATTTAAATTTTATGACATCTTCTGTTGCAGATTCAAACATATGTATAGTTATTCCTCATTAGTCACAAATTCCATATTGCCAAATTACCAGTTTGCTAAACTTTATTTGTAACCCTCAAATTGATACCTACAATTCTTTCATAAGTATTTGCAGACAATGAGCATGCACATAGCATTGCACATTTTGAGTGATCTAACACACTTCTAGTTTGAGGTCCAACAAGGCTAAGCTCCACCTTCTTTTCACTAATACTGTAAATGAGTAGCCTTTTTACAACCTATTCAGGTGCATTTTTTTCCCCCGTTTTTGTGGGGTTTGTTGGTGATTTTGCTGTTTAAAATGCAGTGCTGTCGCGGTGTGACTCAAGCGGTAGAGCACCTGCCTAAAATGCTGTGCTGTCTACGCACAGGAAGACTATGAATGTGTAAGATAGCACATGAAAATGCTTGTTCACACATGATTTACAGTGCCGTGACACCAACATTAATGAATCAGTGAAATATGTTAGATACGGTGCTTTTAAACCAAAACACACATCAAATAAAGTTATGTATTGATTAGATCACAAAAATATTTTGTGACTGGAGGCACAGAGGAACCTAGTCCTATGTTTCCCCTAGGAGCAGATTCAGTGTTCACTAAGTCACTGTTCACAGGACTTAATAGAACACAAGGGCCAGGGATAATAAGAATCATCTGTGCTTTTGTGTTGGTTTTTCTAGCATTAAAATTAACAGTCCCAAAGTTTAAATGAGATGTCTTAAAAACCATGTAAGTAATTCCTCACAAATGTCATAATGAGAGCTACAAATAAAGAGTGAGCTTATTTTTTTTTTCATACCTCCATATGTCCTTCAGGTTCTAAAATAGTTCATAAATTATACACTTAAGTTTCCCTGTAAAAGCATCAAATTATCTTTCAAATGAGAGAAGTTGAACTTAAAGTGTGTGATTTATATATTAGGAAGCATGAATACCCATAAAATTCAGATACATTCAGTAATCAGACTCTGGTTATGTTTTCTTTTGTATTTTGTTTTTAGCCATCTCAGAGAAAGAGAAAATACTATGAAGCTAGTCACTTGAATAGTGCTGTTTTACCCTAAAATTCAATTAAAAAGTGAGTGAACAAGCACATGTTAAGTTATATAAAATTAAATAATGCCTTCTGTTTCATATACAGAATATATATCAGCATATATTTGGCATTTTAAAAGAATTTTATTTAGTTAGTTAATGTACTTTTCTGTGAGTTATAATGGCACAGTGTTATTGTAGTTAAGGAGAACAAAAAGATTTGTTTATACAGAAGAGTAATAGTTGCTCTTAATTGTTTGACAAATCCCAGACATTTAGGCTATATAAATTTCTGCTTTTCTGAAAGATATCATCAGGCAACACCTGTAGCCCAAATGAGACTGTTACAGTACTAATTCCTTTGTGCTACTTAGCATGTAAAGCTATTGCTACATAATTGCTCACTCTTACAATAAGTTAGTTTTGGAGAGTGTTTTGTTGGTTTAGGGATTTTTTTGGCTGTCTGCTGTGCTGGTTTTCCCACCAACTTAGTAGTTTCATGAATTTTTCTGTGTTATTTGTTTACTGTAAATTTGTTATATAATTTTCATTAATTATATGTTATTTTGAACTTTTCAAATTAAGAATTTTATCTTTATGTATCAAGGAAAAAGTCACAAAATTAGAACTATCTTTAATAGCAAAATAATGTTGTCCATCATAGAATGGGGAAATAATTTAAAATTCGTAAGTTCAGAGCCTGGGAAACATAGTTCAGTGGCATAACACATTTGAATGTGCAGGGCCCTGGGTTTGATCACCAACACCAAAAAAAAAGAGAGAAAATACAGAAACAAATATACAAATGTTTCATACTCTGCCCCAGAGAAAGTAAGAGTTTTCTCATATAAAAAAAGAAAAGGAATGTGCCTCTTGATGAAAAGATAGAAAGTAACTGACTTTTCGAAGTTGATTTTTAGCATGTTGATAATTCATTTAAAAAATATGTTTGTTGAAAAGATTTAAAGTACTTCAGAAAGAACTCTACATATGGTAATCTCTTATTTTTGTTCAAGATACCAATTCTTAAAAATTTATGGAAGCAGATTTTTTTGTAAGTCATGTGGGAAAAAAGTCAAGATTAAACTACCAGTTTTTTTTCTAGGTAGCAATTACAGTGAAAAATGTGATGTCTTCAGCTGGGGTATTATCCTTTGGGAAGTGATAACACGTCGGAAACCCTTTGATGAGATTGGTGGCCCAGCTTTCCGAATCATGTGGGCTGTTCATAATGGTTTGTAAAAACACATTTCGCTTTAATATGCTCTTTTGAGTAGTACCTATTTGGAAGATTATTCCTGTCTTCTTCCCCAAAGAAGACCATTTATCCCTTACATTAAAATGTGTAATTTTTGCTGGATGTGATGGCACACTTTGTAATCTACATGGGAGGCATAAGAAGGAGGATCATGGTCCCAGGCCAGCCCAGGCAAAAAGTGGACCCATCTGAAAAATAACCCAAAGCACAAAAGGACTGGAGGACCTTGCTCAACTGGTAAAATACCTTCCTGGCAAGCACAAAGCCTTGAGTTCAGATCTCAGCATCATAAATAAATTTTAAAAACCCAGTACCACCAAATAAAAAACATAAAATACCTTGTATTTTAATCTGTAGTTTTGTTTTTTTTCCTCCTGGGAAGCAAGGAACTAACCAAGGAGAGAAGTCAAAAACTTCTGATAAGAGTTGTTACTTAAATTCAAAAAACAAAGCACAGAGTGCTTCACATACCCTTTCTTTTTGTATTCCTACCTGTACTTACTAGGTAAATACTATTGCCTAATTTTTCAGATTAGGAAACAGACCTAGGGAGTTTCATTACCTAACTTGCCCAATATCAGAAGACAAGTAATTAGAGGTAGGATTCAAATATAGATCTTTCTGACTCAAATGCTCATACTTTATATCATGTTGACTTAATGGACTCTGTTCTTACATCCCTCTGATCCTTTTTATACCTCTGATAATGATTCTAATCACATGTGATGGTAAAATGTATCTTCTTGATTGATAAAATTATTACATACTGGCTTTGGAAAAGTAAGGTGTTTGTGAAGGAAAATTACTTCACCTTCCTAACTTCATAATCACTCTTACTATTTCATTTCTGTCACTTGACTATACTCAAATTTTGTGTAATTGTTTGCATCATTTATAACCTGGCAAAACAGTGTCATCATTGGAGTACTCTGAGCCATTTTGCCAGTTTCATGTACTACCTTTAATGTTACTATCATTAGAGAATGAATAGTAAAGCCTTGACAAAGACAGTTTGCTTTCTTGTCTCTCCATCAATTGTCAATAAATAACTGAATGTCAATAAAGTGGTGGTGGGGGGAGCTGACTTGTTAATTGATTATATTGCAAAAATCCCACTATATTTGAGGCCTTCTTTAAGTGGGGACCTTACTAATAATGTTACAGGCTTCATAATTATAAAAAGTTGGCAGTTCTCTGCTTATGAAATGGTTGATTCACAGCAGTAAAAGGTCTGCCTCCCACTAATGGCTCATTTGGAAGTCAGTGAGCATATACCCAAGTTAACTACTTTTTGCATATGCAAGGATATAAATTTTTTTGCAGTGAATCTGAAAATTCAGGTAAGGTTTCTTCAAGGCACCATTTTTCTTATTACAACAAACACTAAGCCTTTGTTATTTATTGAAAGAATGTTTATAGCAATCAAGTGTTATTAATCCTCAGTCTGGAGTCAGATGCGCTACCAATGTGCCATGAGGTCCTAAATACTGTGTTATAAAATGTAGTATAAAAATTTAACTCTTTTAAAGATGTAGTTTCAGGCTGGGTGCAGTGACTCACATCTGTAATCCCAGATACTTGGAAGGAAGAGATAGAAGGATCATGATTTGACACTAGCTGTTACCCCAGCTATGCAGGAGACATAGGAAGAAGGATCTCATTCTAAGACTGGGCCTGGCAAAAGTACAAGATCCAGTCTGAGCTGAAAGCAAAAAGGTCTAGGAATATGGTTCAAGTGATAAAGCATCTCTTAACAAGCTCGAAACCCTGAGTACAAGCCCCATCACACCCCCCAAAAGATGTAGTTTTCCCTTTATGAAAATATGCATAGATAAAGAACAAAAAAAAAGTACTTTCATAGTCCAAAATACAGGTCTCAGATATAAGACCTATGGAGTAAGTACCGCTTTGAAAATACCTATGAAAGTTTGCACCATTGTTTGAGTAAATTTCCCTCTTGTAATTTTCAATCATAGGTACTCGACCACCTCTGATCAAGAATTTACCCAAGCCCATTGAGAGCCTGATGACACGGTGTTGGTCTAAAGACCCTTCTCAGCGTCCTTCAATGGAGGAAATTGTGAAAATAATGACTCACTTGATGCAGGTATAATCCTTCTTTTGAGGGGCTTTGCATTTAAGGGAGTTTAATATATACTGAGTTTTGATGAGCTTTTAAAATAAAAGGGGATATTACTGCTATTTTCTGCCTTAGGTGCTTTTTTTGTATTTTCTAAGAGATAGGCATTTATGGCTCATATAATCAGAAGAAACACTATTTTAGAGAAAAACATCTAGCCCTTTGTAATGGAAAGATGTCTAGACTGGGTTTCCGGACTTCTTATTCATACTACTTACATTAGGAGACAGATGTGCTTATTTCAGGGCCTGTTGCTTGTCTGTATTATGAGAGAAGCTGAATTAAATGACATATAAAGCCTTCACAATACTTAGGTATATTGTGACTATTAACATGCTAAACCAAACTTTAAATTTTATGATTCAGATTTTCATCAAAATTCAGTCACTTAGGTAGGGACAATAGAGAGGTTGCATTTTCATGTGCATTTATTTGAGAGCTCTTTGCTATTTGGTTTTTGTTGCTTATTTTCAAGTTTGTATATGCTTATAGAATATTTTAATTTAGAGAGAACCCTTCTTAAATGATCGTCAAATTTTCCTGCTCTACACATCAAATCCTTTAGGTTTATTTGAAATATTTTAGGGTTTTAGTTTTTGGATCACTAACAAAAACTATCAAGTGGTAATTTTGGCTCAAGTAAGTGCATGTAGTTAGGAAAGTATGTGAATTTCAAAACAACTTGCTCAGCAGAAGAATCTTGAGATCTTCTGAAATACAGACTCAAGTAATTTCCTAAATGGTCAAAGATTTAGTTTCTTTCTATTTAAAATAACTGAGACAAAGCAACTTGAACTAACTGGTTTAAGTTTACCATCATATTTAGACACCCACTATAGATAGACTCCTAGGCCCTAACTAAAGGTGCACGCATAAGCAACCAATTTAGTCTCTGTAATCAAATGATTTAAAACTTTGGGCTATATAGATTGTTCTAGTTATAATTGTGCCTACATGTGCTTTGTCCAATTTGAGAATAATAATTCTCTTTCCCTAAATTTTAACTTTTTTTGTCCAGGAAATAATTTAAATATTGTGCCTCCAATTCATAAAGGACATCCAATCTTATCATTTTCATATTTAAACTATTAGTTTTAACAATTATTCTGTGTTATACCACTTTCGGTTGTCAGACTAACAATTTGGAAGTTTATGTCACTGTTTTGAGAACATAAATGTGTTTCATATAATTATGAGGAATGAAACTATTCTGTTCCATATGTTCCTCTAAAGAAATATTTACTGTTTTCTTCAAGACTATCTAGATTCCATGTAAGCTAGATCCTTAGTTAGGTACATGCCATTGTCCACTGGTGACATTCAAAAGGGAGCATAATATTATATCTTTATAAAATCAAAAACTTAGAACTCTACAAATTCAGTATGTGCCTTAGGGAAAATAAAGCAGCATTGTTGCCATAGCCAAATGTCACAAGGAAATAATTCATACACACTTTTTAAGTTTAATACGATTTAACCTGTCTTAAAGAAAATTTAAATTATTATTTGCTTTTTTATATATATAGTACTTTCCAGGAGCAGATGAGCCATTACAGTATCCTTGTCAGTATTCTGATGAAGGTCAGAGTAACTCAGCCACCAGTACAGGTAAATGGATGGAATGGAAGAGTGATATCCTAGTATTTTTAAATCAATTCCTGTGAAATTATAATCAAGAAAGCAGTGAGTGATGTCCTATTTGCATTTTAATTCCTTCATTTTATATGATTGACTGCAATTTGAGTTTCCAGGTGCATCATTCTTCACGAAGCTACCTAGATTAAAGAGTTGTTTAAGATCTCTTTCCAACTCTGGAATTCTTGTATGGTTGTCTAGAAAGATTGGATAATGTATTGCTGTGAATATCGTTCTTAATTTAAAAATAATTTTTTGCAGACACTAGCAGATCAAATAGTATTTGGAATTATTGTAAATGTAGCATTTCTTGATCATGAATATCCACTTTCTGGTGTTCTTTTAAGAGATTCGTTTAAACTGTGCTTTAGTTAAAAGTTCCTCCATTTTCTCAAATATTAAGTAGTATGTGGTCAGCATAAAATAGTAGAAATAGTAATCTACCATAGAAAAATTGTATTTTCAAAATATATGCCATTTTTATTTAATTATATCTAAAGATATGTATGTACATGTATACATAAGTTTGCACTGTACTTAAATTTTTTTTACTAATATTTTTACTAGTTTATTTTCCCCCATGCTAGTTATTCTCAACTCCATTTTTACTGAAAACCCTTGAGTTGCTCTGAATTCTAAAGTGAACATCTCTAGAATTCTATCATTTACTTATTCTCTTACCTTCAGACCCTCTCCTGTTCCCATATTGTGACCTTCAGCCCTTTGATCCTTTCAGCTTTTCACTGACCCTCAGTCTTTTTAGTCACCTTTTTTTCCTTTATCCCTCCATTTAATGCTGGTCAGCTGTTATAAACCCTTGGAATAATACTCACCTGTCTAGCCCCTTTCTCAGACTTCCTTGACTATACCAGTGCAGCTGAATGTGACTTTTCTCCTTTGATTTTATCATTTTACATTTACTTACATGTGCATACATTGTTTGTGCTACCACTTCCCTCCCCCGCCTTGACTGTCCTTGAATGTATGTTTAGTGCTGCTTGATAATTGTGTTATATTTTAGTACAATTAATCTCTCTTAGATTACTTTAATCTTATACTTTAGTCTCTTTCCTCAAACTTGAAGCACCTCTCTATGCCTCTCTCTCAGCTGACCTTGTTTGCCGTTTCCTTTTTGGAAATAGAGTAAGCAGAAGACAATATCCACAAGTTCCCCCACTATTCTACCTACCTGCCTCTATCTATGCTCATCTGCTCTGTTTTTCCCACTATTATAGCTTAACTACCCATGCTTCTAGCCATAAGCCTTTCTACTTGTACATTATACCCCATCTGCCCTTCCCAGTAATTTTCTGTCTCCTACATCACCAATTTTAGCCTGTCTTCTAAGATCGTTCCCAGAGCAATATGGTCTATATTTGCATTTGTTTCTCTCTTCCCATTCTCTCTTGCACCAACTCCACTCAGACTCTCTCTCCGTCCTTCCATCCCTCCCTCTCTCCCTCTCAGTGCTAGAAATCAAACACAGGGCTTTGCACATGCTAGGCAAGCACTCTACCACTGAGCCACACCCATAGCTTGTTCTCACTTTTCCTTACTGATTATTCCTCATGTCCTCAACCTAAAAACATTAGAGTGCCAAGGGCTTAGACATTTGGGTTCTTCACATATTCATCTATGTCCATTTCTTGGTAACTACTTCCAGTATTAGACTTCATATCATCAATTTGCTGATTTTTTTTTTTCTTCATCCTGTACCTGAACTCTATACTCATATATCCAGAAACTTGCTTGATATCCATTAGGAGTTCAAACTCAACATTTTCAAACTGAGTTCCTGGTACTTCCTTCAAACTCATTAATTCTCTAGTCTTTCCCATTTCAACTAGTAGCCCTCAGTTTTTCTAGTAGCTCAGGTTAAAACTGTAAGTTATTCTTGACACTTTAGAAGATTATTTGGTTCCTTTTTTGTACTATCTGTAAGTTTCATTTCAAATGGACTTTTTTGGGTGTCTTCATTAGGGTGAAAACTCTCATTTTATGTCTATTAAGTTACATTTTATTAAATGAGGCATTTGTATTATTCTCAACCTGTATTCATAAATGTTTTGGCTTTCCTAGGCTCATTCATGGACATTGCTTCTACAAATACCAGTAATAAAAGTGACACTAATATGGAGCAAGTTCCTGCTACAAATGACACTATAAAACGCTTAGAATCAAAACTGTTGAAAAATCAGGCAAAGCAACAGGTTTGTGATGTTATTAAAAGTAGGATTGTGTGGTTACCTTACTAGTACCCATAACAGTAAACTTTAGCTGAAAATAATTATTTGCCATCGTCTATTGTATAAATCATGAATCTTCTTCCTAAAGGAGATAAATGAGCTTCAAGGATGGAGACATAAAATAAGATTCTCTTTATAATTTATTACAAAACAAGTTTTTTCTTCTAATGATTGCTGCCTTACCCAATTCTCCTACTCCCTGTTATGATCCCCAACTTTAATGGTTGATGGTTAAAAATGTAAAATGGATATATTTTGACAGCTACTCAGAAGAGTTGTCCTAAATATCACTTAATCCTGTTCAGATTTATTATGTTGTCATTGTTGGTTTAAAAATATTTTAAGGAATGATTCTGTTCATCTTGCTCAAGGCATTTAGATTTAGCTTAACTAATTGGAGCACTTACCTCCCAACTCTAGCGACTACCCTTTCATGAAGTCATAGCTAAGCTTACTCTCCCTTCCCCTTAGCTCCCTCTCCCTGCAAACTTCCCTTTTGCAGAGCAGTACAGGATCCATAAGAATCCCACTTGGCATTTTCCTCCTTCTAGGCTGCCCAGGATTTCTAAGTCTAAAGAACTTCAGTAATTCAGATTGACCTATAATTTTGACAGAGTGAATCTGGACGTTTAAGTTTGGGAGCCTCTCGTGGGAGCAGCGTGGAGAGCTTGCCCCCAACTTCTGAGGGCAAGAGGATGAGTGCTGACATGTCTGAAATAGAAGCTAGGATCGCTGCGACCACAGGTAAAAAGGACCTACAAGTCTGAAAAAGAGTAAAAATGTATATAATTCTTTGGGGCATGGTAGTTGAATTATTTTAAGGGGATGTCAAAGTCTTTTGTATCTTTTTTTTTTTATGTAGGAAGTAAACTTCCAACAATAATTTATGCATTTATCTCAAATTCTAAATAAGGAAAGTATGATGAAAAATTTCTTGGATTCTAAAGTATATATTCCTAATTATAGATTTTTTTAAATCAAATTTTGAAATGTAGTGAAAACCAGAATATTTACAGAGATTTTGAGTGTTTTAGGTTTTTGTGCTGAACTCAAATAATAGCAATAATATATATATATTTTTTAAGTCAGCAGAAAAATATACTCCAGATCCAAATGATTCAGCCTTACTGTCTGCTCCTCCTTCCTTCCAGATAGCTGAGCTGATTGTGGTTAATTCAGTTGTAAAATAAAAAACTAATAATTTTATTGGCTCTTGAAAGTTAGTATTTAAACTCCACTTCATTAGTTCTCAGAATTGCTGATCATGGAAGAACTGGTCAACACAAACACAGTGACATGTTTTTTACCTAAGTCAGCTGACAACCCTTTCTAAACCAGGCTTTATTTGGTTAATACTGGCTTGGTTTGGGTTTTGTTTCTGGTTTTAATTTTTCTGATATTCTGCAGGGTGGAGGGGAGCTAATATTTATAATTACTTTTATAGTTTACTTTTACACAATTTTGTTGTGAAGAATGTGAAAGTGTAAATAAGCCGCCCCCCCCAAAAAAAACCTTACATAACTACCTTACTCTGAGATAAACACTTAACATTTTTGTGTATTTCCCTCGTCTTTTAACTGTTTGTATAAATGTATGTTTCCATGTGTTTTTACTGATATATTTTTAAACTTATCTAACCAGATTTTTTTTCTTTAGGTCTTTTTTTTTTCTAAGTGGAATATTCTCATTGTATGTGGAGTGCTTTTCATAAAGAAGTAGTCCAAGATGGGTGTGGTGGCTCACGCCTTAATCCTGGCTACTTTGGAGATGGAAATCAGGAGGTTTGTAGTTCAAGGCTAATCCAGACAAAAAGTTAGCTTAGTGAGACCCCATCTCAATCAATTAAGCCAGGCATAGTGGACATATCTATGGTCCCAACTATGTAGGAGGATCACAGTCTGAGGCTGCACCCTCTTGAGGCAAACACTCAAGCAAGACCCTACCTGAAAAATAACTAAAGCAAAAAAGGGCTAGGACTGTGGCTCAAGTGGTAGAGGACCTACCTAGCAAGTTCAAGGCCCTGAGTTCAAACTCAGTTCAAAAAAAAAAAAAAAATGTGGACCATCATGCTATACTTCAACTTTATTAGCTAACACTAAAATCCATTGACTAGAACAGAATATCCAAAACAATTATAACATGAGCTTTGTTTTTCACACATGAACAAATCTAGAGGTAGGCTCCATCATCAGGCAGCTCGTCTCCTGTGTCTCTCCATGTCACAATCCATATCATGTAGCTTCTATCCTTAAGGTTACCTGTGGCCCAAAATGGCAATTATAGTTCCAGTCATCTCTCCATATTCAAGGAAGGAGGAAATAGGGGAAAAGTGAAAGGGCAGTCAAGCTCTTTGAAGGAGTTTTCCCTAACAACTTCCCCATACAAGTCTTTGGCCAGAGTAATGTGGTCATCTGACTACACAGAGCTCCAAAAGAAGGGCTCTCTTCATTCTCTTATTCATCTGGTACTATTGCTGTTCTAAGTAAAGCAGAGTTCTGTTGCTAAATGAAGGAAAGAATAGAGATTGACAAGGAACTGCAGTCTCTGCCACAAATGGGTCTGCAGAAGGAATCAAGTTGAGTAGAGGTCACCAGCCGTTCCCAAGCCCTCTCATAGCCATGAGTCACAAGTATTTCTGTGAAGTGAGGTTGGTGAAACCTGCTTACAGAGACATACACCCACACTTTGGAGAACCTTTTTCACTTCAGGGAAGTCATTCAATACTCACTAAATACTGACTCTACCCTAAAATGAAAAGCAGTATTATGATAATAGTTTTATGGTTTTGCTTGTATTATTTTTCCAGTCAAATACACGGTGACTCATACCTGCAATCCTGGCCTTAGCTACCAGGGAGATCAGGAGGATCTTGGTTCAAAGCCAGCCTAAACAAAAAAAGCTCAGGAGACAGAATCTCAACCAATAAAAAGCTGGACATGGTCCTGTGCAACTGTCATCCCAGCTACACGGAAAGTGTAAATAGGAGGATTCAGGTCCTGGCTGGCATAAACATAAGACCCTATTCAAAAAATACCCAAAACAAAAAGGATTTGGGGGGTGACACAGCTCAAGTAGTAGAGCACCTGCCTAACAGTGCAAGGCCCTGAGTTCAAACTGTAGTACCACAAAAATAAATAAATTTATACATAACTGTCTTGTACTTATTCTTTTAAAAATGATACCACACACACAATTACCTTTTCCTCTCTACCTAAATGTAGGATAAATGCTATTGTATGTTCTTGGAATTTATTTGAATTTTTAAATGAGTTGTCTTACTTTGAAAGATTATACTCTAAATTTTTGCAGCCTTTGTGTTTAGCCTTAGTGAACCATAAACTGAAAGCCTTAGTAAATATCCAGTTTATTAGAAATATTATGTATAAGTACTTATACCTAGGAAATCATACGCATTTTGTATTTTGATTCAATAACTTGTTTACTCACTGAATTTTACTTTATAGAACACTCCAAGCAATACCTAACTTTGAAATATATTCCTATGTTTGTGTGAAACAAATATGGCAGCTTATTAACTCCTCTTCCTTCCCCCCTTCCTTCCCCTGCCCTCATCTCATATCATTGGTTTCACTTAGGTAGATTGTTTCTGTGAACACGTTGGAAATTCAGCTTCCTCATTACCCTGCAGCTTCGTCTGTCTTTTTTTTTTTCTGCTAATTAAAGTCGATGTGTAAAACTTCTTGTACTGTTAGTTGTTTGCTGTTTAATCATGCCTTTTCTAAGCATGAATGAAAAGTTAGATAGTTCTGCATGCCCTTCTGCATGAATAGTTATTAACATAACTATTTGAAAACTGTTCTGTTTTTGTAGTTAGTTGTTTTCTGTGTTACTATTTGTGGTTGTTTGCATGTATACTGTATATATGTGTTTTTGCAGCCTATTCCAAGCCTAAACGGGGCCACCGTAAAACCGCTTCATTTGGCAACATTCTGGATGTCCCTGAGATCGTCATATCAGGTATCATAGACCACTTGAGTTGGTCTAATAGCTGGGGAACCGGAATAATGATCCCTGGTACTTTTAAAATGCTTCTTGCTCCAATTTTTATACAACATGAAAATAGATACCTTGCATGCAGTAATTAGGGAGACAGATTGAAAACTGTATACATTTATAATAAAATGGACTTGAAAAGATAACCTCAGATCTCTAGTGGTAAGGATGAAATAGGAAAGTAAACCTTTTTTTTTTTAGTGGCATCAGGGCTTGAACTCAGGGCCTACACCTTGAGCCACTCCGCTGGCCCTTTTTGTGTTAGGTATTTTCAATATAGGGTCTCTCAAATTTATTTGCCGGGGCTGGCTACGAGCCATGATCCTCCTGATCTCTGCCTCCTCAGTATCTAGGATTACAGTCATGAGCCACCAGCAGCCAGCTGAAAGTAAACCTTTTTCACAGAAGGCAGAACACCAACTCAGAATTCTACCAACTTCCTCTAATCTTGGAAGTGGACCCATGAGCCTAAATCCAGACCATTTTTGCACCTAGCAAAAGGAGGAAATTACTATTTGAAATTTTTTGGTTGTCCTAGGCACCTTTCTTTCCTCAGTTATGCTTTAGGGGCTCCCTCTAGGCTCTCTGTCCCATCCTCTTTCTGTTGGTAGCAAGTAAATATGAAAGAAGAGAGTTGCTAAATATCATTTTGTCTTAACCTAGAAAACAGAAAAAAAGTAAAACTAAATGAGACTTGCTGTTTTGCAGGGTATCTTATCAAAAATAAAAATTATGTAAAACAAATGATGAATTCTGGTTCCTCCACATATTATCAGGAAGATCTCACAAATTAGGGTTTTTATACCAAATTCACATAGTACTTCAGTGTCTCAGTTCATAAAACTGCTTTTATTTCTAGTGGTGATCATTTCATAGGAGAATAAAAATCACCATTTTTAGGTGAACTTGAAATGATATATCAAACTTCACTATTGGTCAATGTATGTTAATTTTTATCAAAATTATCATTTATCCCCCTGCTGTAGGTTTTCCTTCTCCCAAAAATTTTGATAAGGAGATAGTATTTTCCACACATTTATATGTATGATTTGGATGAATTCTTAAGCACTCTATTCTTGGCCTGCAGTTGTGCTTCTTTAGCATAGGGTTTACACCATAGTTGAATACCTTATGATTATTTTCTTCCTGTACTAAACTTAAAAGCCATTAGGGTAGAGACTATGTCTTTGCTAATTATGAATGATTATGTCATTAGTAGCTGGCTCATTGCATCATGTATTGACCATAATGTTTAATAAATAGGTGTTTATTAAGTAAATGAGCAAAGCACTATCGAACATCTCCAGTAGCTAGGAACTAGGGTACAAAAATATAAATGATACAATTTTGTAGGCCATTTTATCAATCTAAAACTATTTTGTATGCATTTTTCTCTCCTTTTCAAAGTTGCATCCAATTTTACAACATTGTTACCATTCCTGATCAAAGAATAGCATTAACTCGTTTCTCACTCGCATAGTTATTTTGATTTATTGAGAAAGAGCTGCTTTAGAAATCAATGAAGTATTTGTGATCATTTTACTTCCATACTGATAGGTATGAGTGACTAATACTGTGACTAAGAAGTGGCAACATTTAAACTTATATATTGCTGAGCTGTGATTATTTTAAATGTTTGAGAGAATAAGGAAAATTTAGTACAACTTTAGTGTAGGTGTTATGGGTAAGCAAATACTTAAGGCAATATACCCAATACTGTACTAAATAATGGGGAAAGGACACAAGGGGAAAGGATAATAACATATAGCTGGCAGGAGCTAGTGGAATGTAGTAAGCAAAGAAGAGAGATGCTTACTACAGCGTACCAGGCAAACCCCCACAACAAAGAATTATCTAATCCAAAGGTTAACAGTGCTGAAGCTAAGTCAATGTAGCTAGATGCTCTTTGTGAACTACAAAGTAGTTTAAAGTACATCATGTTAATTGATCTTCATTGCAACTGTAGCTAGGTTATGAGATGAGATTAAAGCCATTTCACAGATGATAAATTTAGATCTGATGATGCTGACTGTTTTTCTCAGAACCACACAGTAGGATTCCAACCTAGATCTTCTGACTCCAAATCACTTCTATTTTCTTCTCTTGTTTAAAGTCACACAGCATAGAGTAATTCAGCCTTGCTTCTCCTTAGCGTTCACGTTAGGGAGAGTTCTTCACTCAGAAACACCTTGACCTTGGGTCCTTATGGAATCAGAAAACCTTAATTCTTCTGTACGTTGCAGGAGCATCAGTACTGTTTGAATAAAAATATTGTTCAGTAATAAATTTTATTAAATATTTTTGTTGGGTTTTCCCCCAGATAGCCATATATTAATCTAATCAGTTTCACTTTCTTTAACAAAAAGTATATAGAAGCTGAGATTAAAACTTAAGGACATAAAAGTCAGACATTAATGTGTCCCTAGGTTGTATTTTAAAATTAAATATAAAAATATAGCCCACCCAATGAGCTATACTTTGAGTTTCCTACATGGCATTTTGATTTCCCAAATTTTAATACTTCTAAAATTTTTTCCCTTTAAGAGGACTTCCCACAGGTTCTATGGTATAGATAATAAATGATACATTTAAACTGTTGTTGATTAGCACTGGCACCCAGTTGTAAGTATTTATTAAATATGGATTATATTAAAATCTATTACAAATCAGTAGGTTTAATAATACTTCCCTTTGGCCAGGTGCATTATACTGAGTCCAATGTACTTGTTGGAATGATTGCCCTCCCTTAATAAGGGCACTCCTGCAAGCATCACAAATAGGTTTTACATATACATTATTATAATGACTAGGCAGGTAAAATGCCGCATACAGATATTGGTAAATAATGTAAAGACTAATCTTCCAATCTTATTTTTACTTGCTCTTCAAAAATATTATATATTAATGCCCTCATTCCAATGAGGGAATTAAAGCAAGTTATGACTACCAGTAATATTCTTCAATAAGATAGTCTCTTAGGTCATGGAGAAATTGACCTTTAATCCTTCAGGCTGTCAGTGGATCAGCCTATACAGTGTTTAAATACTTTTTCTCCATTTCTGGCACTAAAGTACTGACAGATTTTTGTAAGATAACCCTCCTTTCTCTACTTTCCACTGTCTACCTGCCCTTAAAAAGAGAGCTATAGATCAATCTGGGTCCTTATTATCAAGCATCACACAGCACATTACCAATAAAAGTATGTATGACCTTTTGCTAACTCTTTCATTTGTGGAAAAGGTTTTGCCAACTGCTGGCAGTGTGCTACCTAAGCAAAGTCAATGTAAATATAAAAGTTTCTTGTCCGGGATTTAGACTATTTGTACTGTAATTTTCCAATACATTTGTTTATTGAACACTTTAATAAATTGGAATGGGTTCTGAGAGAAGGTAATGGGCCTTCCTAAATGTTTTCCATTAAAACTTGAATTATAACACATAATCCTTTTCAGTCAGTGTCCAGTAAAATTTTAAATTTATGGCTAATTAAATGGAAATTAACCTTAACAATGAATATTTATAGAATGTCTGCACCATATTGTGAACTATCAAGATCACTATTTGTAATCTAAAAAGCAAACTCTAACCTAATACAGCTGGTTTATGACAAGGTAAACTGATCAGTAAGTAGTCACTGCTTTTCTTTGATAGAATTTTTAAAACCTACCTGGAAGTTTCCCTTTCTAAAAGAAGTGGCAGATTTTGTCAAAATTAGTAAAAGAATATGGAATTGTGGCAGCCTAAATGGAACAAATTTTAAAATTATATCTTCATCATATCATTAAGCAATAATTTGATACTGCAGTCCATAGTGCTGCAAAAAGTTTTAGTTATAGTTTACGCATGGGAACAGTGTCCTTCCTACATTTTTTAATATTCACAACTTACAAATCTTAAATTTTCTAACAGTTTGGATAAGAAAAGTCTCCAGAGAAAAAGAGCGTCTTTAGGAACTTTGAAAATTGAATAGTTAAGGTAAGGAAAGCTGTGAACCATAGGAATGGACTGTCTGGAACTTAAACCAGCATGGATGTACTTTGTGATGACTTTCAAATACTTGCTTAGGAAATCAGTTGTACTTAAAAGAGCAGCTTCTTTGAAAAGGTGGATTCTGTCTTTGTGACATTACCTTAAAAATAAATGAATTGATGTATAAGTTGCTATTCTTATTCCCTTTCTATATTGGGGGATGAAGAAGGTATATAGCATGGACTGGCAATGTGATGTATTCCTTCAGTTGTTCATACTTAGGATTATTCTTTTAAAATGTAATTTTCTTATTGTAAAGTCATGAAAGTTAGAATTCATTGCAGAATGAAATATTCAGGACATTATTTGCAGGCTTTAGATTCCTTGATCCAGCATCTATTTCTACCATGTTGCCCTCAGTTCTACTTTTCTGTTTATACTATTGTGTGTAATACAGGTATACACATATCAAAGAACCATAAAAATGCAAATTAACAACTCATTTGCAAAAAAATCACAACCCAAATTTTCTGAGAACACACCCAATAATTTTCATTTGCAATAATAGGAGACTGGTTCATTTTACATCCATATTTCTAAATTATGACTTTTAAACTTAATATTGGAGCAACAAGTATTTGTTGATTGCAATCCTCTTTTGCTTTGTCTGAACTATTTGCCAGATGGTTTCTGCCACGGTTATGCTAATCAAAATGCATTGCTTAATATTGCTTGCTTTGACTCATTCTATAGCTTGAAGATTTCTCATTTTATGGCATTTGTTAACTGTCAGCTCTTCTTTACCCTACTTCCTTAAAGGTTTTTACTCCCATTTTCTTCTACCTCCCCCACCCCCCATCTAGACTTGAATTCATTTTTGTTGTTATTGTGATGGTGATGTAATGGCTTACAGACACATGTGCTGGGAGGTTCCTCAGATTCACAAATGTTGCCGATCTGTAAAGAAAATTCCAGACACTTTTGCAAGCCTGTCTCATCTATGCTAATTTTAGAATGAGTGTGTTGAATGAAATGTACTAAAATTGCTTATCAGTCATAGTAAGGGGTATCCTTTTTGTCCTTTGGAAATGGGAATCATTAAAAGTATTCATAAAAATATCTTTGTGTGTCTGATTCAGTAAGGGCAAAGTTTATTGTATTAATTTGTAATGCAATGTTGGAATTTTTTGGAATAAATTGAAATTTGAAGTAAATTTGAATTCAAATGATGCAAAGAAATCTACAACATAGCCTAAAGTGGAAAACAGTGATGATGACTTATAGTTTCAAGAGTAGCTGTGAATTTGAGTTTTTATATTCGCTACATGTATTATTCCAATAAACATTTTTACTCTATTTAAGGTCCATTTAGTTTCTGTGCAAAACAGTAATGAGATCACATGGATTAAGATGCTAAATTATATTGAGTATTTTAAGATAAGATTTTTTTATATCCAGGATCATAAAAATATAAAATTTTTTAAATGAATTATCTGCTCATTGGGCCACAACTATTAGAGTGCATGTTCTGAGTGCTGATCACTAGATGAGAAATTGCATAATCCAGCTTTCAGAGTCAAAAGAATTTTGAGTATTGTGTCAGCTGTCACTTGTAGTATTTTAGTGTTTCCTTTTAAACAGCTGATCTGTCATCTTAGATGATACTGTATAAACAACCCTATTCCAAAATAAAGGTGCTGAGTGAAGTTATTGCTTAATTCATTGTTTTGCTGAAGACTTAAATTTGTAGGACTCTTTTTTATTAAATTAAATTTTAAAATTATGGTTAGCATAGAAGTTCCTAAAACAGGGCATATGTGAGACAGTTTCAGCAAGCTGCATATTTGAGAATGGAATGGAAGTCATTCATCTCCAGAAGGAAAATTAAGTTGTTAGTCACAAATAATGAATTACTGGATTTTGACAAAGACTAGTGAGATTAAATGTGACTCGGTAGAATAAATTTAAACCTAACCATCCTCTTAGATCCCGAAAGGAGGTTCTCCTGCTAGTTAAAGTCAGTTGTCTGACAACCTCCTAGCTGTTTTGCTGAAAAACTGTAACGTAAGGCCCTTGAAATAGATTCCATCATCAGCCCCAGCCCCCAAGCATTCATCTATTTAAACACATGACAGAAGATGGTAGAAGAGAGTTCCGCAGCTATTCATGTGGTAGGAATGTTATTAAATTAGGACATGCTCCATTGTACACCAGCAGCTTTTGAGTTAAAACACTGAAGTATGTTCTCTCTCTCTCTCTCTCTCTCTCTCTCTCTCTCTCTCCCTCCCTCCCTCCCCCACTTCTCTCTCTCTTTCAACTCACCCATTCTTTTTCCCACAAACAAACATTTTCCATAGATCCAAGAAGCAACAAATTGCAACTTCTGTTGTAGCAGTTACACCTTTATTACCTCTTTAAATACATTTCAGTGTTTTACTTTTATTTTCTTAAAGGAAACGGACAGCCAAGACGTAGATCCATACAAGACTTGACTGTTACTGGAACAGAACCTGGTCAGGTAAGACTTAACATTCACATTTTCTGTCTTCAAAGAAAAAAGATAGGCAGAAATCAAGAGCAAACTATAATATATTCTACACAATTAGTTTTATAAGTTGACCTAAAAATATGGTAAAGATCACTGACACTGAACTTAAATATTTAAGGGGAAAAAAAAGCATAGATATTACTATTTAACTTCGGAGGTAATTGATGAAAGTAAGTTTAAACTGCATGGCAAAGTAAATTATTCAGTAGTACTCTATATGTTGTGGTTTTCATATGTGTTTTAATGAAGAACTATTCGATTTTGTAATTGTCATTATCACTGTCCTATAAAGTGCACCATTAGTGTTATCTCCTTTTTACTAACAAGGAGAATAAGTAATTAGATGCCACTCCTCTGGGGGGGGGGCAGTCACATGAAGCATTGACATACCTAGAGAACTCTTAATTTTTTAATCTTTTAATTTGGCATATCCACTGGATTTTTATTTTTAAAAACATATTTACTAAGCAGGTGGATAAACTCAAAAAAGTGTTCTACATCAGTTGTTAAGGTTTTTATTCCTTACATTTCTGAATGCTCTGCTAAACTCTCACTGTCACTTTGTCATTGCTTCTTTGTAGATAGTCCAGGCAGTGCTGTAACTTAAGCCATTACTGAATCTAGTACAGAGTTCTAACCACCTAATATATAAAAGTAGCTTAGTCATTGTTTTTTCTGTTATTCAAATTAATACACTTGACATATGTAATTTTACCATGTTCTATGAAAGGAGTGAAGGCTGATTATGAGGTGTTATGTTGTTATTTTGTTTTCAATTGTGCTAAAATAAATTTTATAAGTATAGCATGCCCCTGAAATAATATAATTATCACATCATGGTCCATTTTTGCCCCAAATTTTAGCATTATATATAAACAATGTGATTTAATTTGTGTTAGTATTGATAGTATATGTTACTTAGTCTATATCCTATAGAGTTCTTTTATTATTTCATTTTTATAAAATACTTTGTTTTAGAGATTCGTTGTAGTTCTAAAAATTTGAAAACTTTTTTTTATTATTTTTATTTTATTCATATGTGCATACAATGTTTGGGTCATTTCTCCCCCCTTACCCCCGCCCCCTCTCTTCCCCTCCTTGAAAACTCTTTACAGCCATCAACTTAACTAACTTAACTAACAAAAGTCACTTAAAAATTTAAGTGATAAGTGTCATTGATTTTCATTTATTATCTGGAAATATTTTGTTACATAACTCATAAAGCCTATGTACATGTGTACACATCTGTTCTTAAAATATAGAGATATAGGCATACATTAATTTATTAGATCTTTCATATTAGTGATTCTAAATCTTTATCTCATTTATTCAGTAGCTTTTTTTTTTCAGTGTATCTGTTTTTGTGAGACCTCAAAACTTTACTGACATTTCCCCTTTTTCTCCCCTACAAGTACTTAAAGGCTTTAGTACATCCATTTATTAACACATAGTTTGACATCTGGTATTTGCTTTGATTCTGTAGAGACATGGAGCTTAGCCTTTTAAGCTCTGTTTACTATTGCCATTGATACTCCAGTTTTGAGAACCTCTAGCCAAGTGTTCTACCTTTGACTAGGAATGAGAACCTTGCTCTTAAGACACATCAGGAATGGCTGCCACTATGAATGGTTTTCTCTGAACTCTAGAACAAAGGTGTTGCTGTAATTCAGGACTGATATCCCTATAGTAATCCTCACTTCTTTCCTCAAAGTCCTGTTTAACTTGGAATTGTGGTTCCTAACTCTTTAATTTATAATACCTTCAGATAGTAAAGCATAGGAACTGAGGCAGACTATGGTTGTAGGACAGTCATTTATATGAATTGTTGTAGACTATTCCAGAAGAGTTGGGATGAGAGAGAGTTTGATGTGATAGTAACACCTGCTTTAAAAAGTTGATATATAACCATTGTACAGCTGGTGTTTAAAATTGATCTAGTCAATTTAAGTATTACCTTAAAGTGCCCAGTGTTCGGTTTAGGATGAAAATAACAAGCAGTGATCTTAATGTACTATGAAAACTATGATAAATGACCATTATATTAAATCTGCTTAATTACTCATGAAGGTAATATGTATCTTTGAAGAGAAAAGTATTCACAACATGAATTCCTAAAAATTCATGTGTAATTCTTTCTGAAATCTGGTGAGGTAGTGATTGGGCAGATGCTCAGAGTTCTCTGCTGCTGTTTTTATTTTTGCTTCTGTTTTTTCTGACTATGGAAATTGATAAAGCCTGAAGAAAAGAATCTATCCCACCAATACAATCATCAGAAGAGAAGAAAAAACTTACTGATAAAGCTTAACATTATCTCTCATAGAGGACTGGGATGAGTGTACTTGCACACTCATAATGTATCTGGCCTCTTACAGGGTTTGAGAAAGAAAAAAAGCAACCCCAGACACCCAGGAGCTGATCTGACACTGAGGCTCCATGTTGTTAAAGCTGGCCTTGCTTGCTAAGCACAGCTACATTATTGTCCTGCATCATGTCCCAGAACACCAGTATCAAATGAGGTTATGCTGAGACCATGGAAAATAGACAAAACGAGTCCACTTTATAACATTGTCAAAACACAGACAAAAGTAAGGTCATTGCCACCACAAAATGAAAAATGTCCCTTCTCCTCCTCAATATGAGTGCCTACTACTTCTTTACCAATTGCCTTCTTTATAGCTTTGTCCTTGCTGTTGACAGCAGCCAATCTAAAGTGAGCCACCCTACGGCAGAGTGCTCCCAAGTGGTGGAGCGTCTGCCTAATACCCTTGAAGCCTTGAGTTCAAATCCTAGTACTGCCAAAAAAAAGAAGGGAGCCTCTGCTTCTTTATATCCTCCCAAAAATCACTCAACAATGCCTAATTCTGTAATAGTTTATTTCTAAAACCATCTTACTGAGACACCCTATGGTACCCCATGGAGAGTGTTCTTCACAGCAACAAATATTAAACCCAACCCTTTCCATTACAGATGTGTTCCTGGTGGTCTCTGTCTGGTGATCACTGACAGTCCCCAGTCCCCAGGGAGCTTTTTAGGCAGATCAAACTTAACCTGTTTAGTTCTCTTTATCTCTTAGTGAACTATCATAATAACAGCTGCTGTTTATTATACTGACTTTATTTTTTTCTTTACTCATTTATTCATATGTGCATACATTGTTTGGGCCATTTCTCCCCCTGTCCCCTTACCTCCTTCCTCTTCCCCTCACCCCCCTCACTTCCAGGCAGAACCTGTTCTGCCTTTTCTCCAATTTTGATGAAGAGAAGACATAAGCAATAATAAGAAAGACAAAGCGTTTTTGCTAGTTGAGATAACTATACAGAGAGATTCCTAGCATTGCTTTCATGCACAAGTGACTATACCTGGCAGACCCTTAATATACATCATCTAAATCTTAACCCTATAAAGTGGGTTCTTTTTATTTATTCATTTGCAGGTGGGTAAACTGATGATTAGACAACCTTGACCTAAGTTTCTTATCCTCCCTCAAACTTCCAGTGACTTGTTATAAACCAGTTTTTTTTAATCTAAATCTGATTCCACAACACAAAACCTCTATACACACTTTCATTCTGTCTTGCATAGAGAACTAGATATAACATGTGTTAATCCTAGTAAATGTCACATTTTGGTTTGTGATAGTCATGTCATCATTATTTAAATAGTTTTCAATGATAGGTTTTAGCTGTATATATCCTTGAGCAAGGCTAACCCATAATAAATAATGGTATTATAATAAAAGCATGCAGATGACTGTACAAGTTTATTTTTTATACATACAGGTAAGCCTTTCTATGTTTCATTTAAATACATGTTGCCAAGCATGCCTACATATCCCTTTTGGAATTGTGTCCACTATAGATCTGTATTCAAGATTGTTCCTAGATGGACTGCAGTCAGTGAAAATCACAACTCCATGATGATACAATTATGATTATACAAAGCACTAAACACACTGCATTTCTATGTGAACTTTAGAATATACTTTTACTGGTCAAATATTTGACTTTGGGCCAGCACCTTAATTTTCCTGAGCTTCTTTATCTACAGATAGGGACTATGTCACCCAACCGTTGGGTTTCTTACCACAGCAGATGCTGATCCTTATTATTTGCCCACATCCCCCATTGTGCCTCCAAGAACTCCTGGTACTAACTTGCATGTTCTCAACAAAGTGTGGTTACTATCCAGAAGTAAAATGAAAATGGCGCCTGGAAGCAAGTTAAATTCATTGCCATTTTGTTCTTTCTATATCATGAGGACACCTGTGTCGCAGGTGATGAAAAGTGCTTGGTTTGAATGCCTTTTGAGGCATATGAAGAGAAATATTATGCGTTGTAATTATTTACTTAAAGGATATACATTATACTACTTTTGTCCATTTTCAGTCAGTATCCTTCAGTGTAAATAAACTTTCAGTTAAAACTCTAAATCAGAAAATTAATGTAATAGTTTTAAATAATTCTTAGTTCATAATAACGTTTTTACTGGAGAATTTCAAGACCATATAAGAACAATCAAATTCTAAAATTTCCTTGTAAAGAGCTGTAATGGAGTCATAATTAGACTGAGCCTGTACCTTTGGATTAGAGTGTTTTAATAACACTGTAATGAATAGATTTGATTGAGCTACCTGTGACTACTCTGATGGAAAAAGTATCCATGTAAATCCTCATTACCTCTTACATATATCTTTGAAATGTTTATATTACTGAATTCTTACTATAAATCAGCATTTAATCTGTTTTGTGCTTATATGATTTTAGCAACCAAGATTTCTGAGGGTTTTAGATTGCTTTTAAATATCAGTTCTTGAATTAATGAAAATATTTTCCCAGTCTTTCAGGTAAGACATAAGAGGCTAATTTTATTTTCATCTGTAAAATAACTCCTTATTCCTTCTTATAAATTAAATTCTGGTCAAAGGCCAATTCTGGTTCATGTCTGCTAACGGTAATTTGCCCCTGTAGTTTAACTTTGGCTTAGTATTCTTTTGCTATGTTACATTGCTGTGTGGCATTTCTGTATTCCCATTGCCACTTTCATAGCCAATACTTGTGGTAAGTCAAGTTGATTTACCTTTCTTAAACCTTGCAGCTTGTATGGGAATAGAAGAAAGGAATTATAAATTTCTCAAAGATAAGAACAACTTAAATGAATTTTAAAAGTTAGAGAGTTTCAACTGAGGCCAATAGGAAAAGGGGACCAGGAACTAGAGAAAAGGTTAGATTAAAAAGAATCAACCTAGAAGGTAACACCCATGCACAGGAAATCAATGTGAGTCAATGCCCTGTATAGCTATCCTTATCTCAACCAGCAAAACCCCTTGTTCCTTCCTATTATTGCTTATACTCTCTCTACAACAAAATTAGAAATAAGGGCAAAATAGTTTCTGCTGGGTATTGAGGGGGGGAGCGGGAGGGGGTGGAGTGGGTGGTAAGGGAGGGGGTGGGGGCAGGGGGGAGAAATAAACCAAGCCTTGTATGCACATATGAATAATAAAAGAAAAATGAAAAAAAAAAAGTTAGAGAGTTTTTATAGCCGTCAGAATTTTGTCAATAAGTTTTTTAAATAGCTACTATAGAATAAGATGTTTTGCATAATTAATTGCAAGCAATAACATAAATTTAACCACAAACTAGTTTTTTTAGTTTTTATTCTTTTTTTTTTTCTTTTTTAGCAGTGCTGGAGTTTGAACTAAGAGCTTTGTGTTTACAAAACTACTACTTGAGCCATGTCCTCGGCCCTTTTTGCTCTGGCTGTTTTTGAGATAGCGTATTGTTCTATGCCCAGAAGAGCCTGAACTGTGATCCTCCTATGCTTCCCCGTGTAGCTGGGATGCCAGGCCTGTACCAGTGTGCCCAGCTTTTATTAGTGCTTAGATGGGGTCTTGTAAACTTTTTGACTGGTCTGGCCTCCAACTGTGATCCTCCTACTCTAATCTTGTGTTTTCTGCCAGTTTATTATCTACCATGCAGTGCACATTGTTATTCTGTCAGAACACTTAGTGCACATTATTTCATTTCATTTTTGCATCCTGGTGATGGAAGTACATAACTTACCTAAAGTTGCACGACTTACAAATGGCAGAGCAGAAACTCAGACTGGGTTGTCTTATCTCTAAGGCCCAACTTATTACTTATTACTGTTTCTCATCCATACTTTATAAATAAAGGAGCCCAAGGCTCATAATGAGTTAATTTTGTAAGTTCACACAGCTATAAATTTAGCAAAGATTTAAACCCAGGTGGAATCCCAAGTATTAAACTGAACTGTATGGATTACTGATAAAGCAGTCAGCTGACTGCTTTTGACCTACAAAATGGAAATTTTACATGGATTCATACATGAGTTGGGCACTACACATTATCCTTGAATGAATTTGGAGTCATGATTAAAAGCTGAGAGGGAAACAATGGCATAAGGCATTGTACAAAAAGAGAGAATCTGGATGGATAATTTTACCTACTGGTAGAGAGTTGTGAATTCATGAGTGAGAATTTCAGAATTGAGCAGTAACAACCAGTAGGTGAACATTTTGTGTTCAGTGAGAAGTTAGGCACTTTGCCCTCAAACACAGGGTCTGACTGTGCACAAAGAATAAAAGCAGAAGCAAGAATGTGTACATATGTTGAAGAGAATCTGAGTTGGGCCTTCCAGGGTTGGAAGGAGAGAAGAGCAGAATGATGACCGTGGTACACAGGGTGCCTGTGTAAGACTGATGTGAAGGAAACTGAGGTTTTGGAAAATTCAGTCTTAATACATTTAAATTTGCTTCTGGTATTGAAAGCCTTTTTGGAGTTTCTGGAACAACAGGTACCCAAGGTGAAAGTAGTAATTCTTCAGTTTTTCTTCAAAATTATTTTTATGATTTGTATCTGTTATAAAAGTCCGTTTCAACTGTTCAGTACCTTAATCCACTATGGATTTGCTCCCCTGTTCAATGGAATTTAAGTTTGTAATGGGCGCTAAATTTCATCAAATGCTCCTTGAGCATCTATTAAGATTTTCTTTAACTTTTAATCTGTTAATGTGATGAAGTGCATGCATTAGAATTCCTAGTGTCGAGTAATTTACCTTTGTATTTGATAAATAAGCTCAATTTTTAAATGAGTTTTTACTGCTTTTATACTGCCAAATTCCATTTGCTAAAACAACTTTTAGGATTCTTGACTTTTTAGGGACTTTCTGTTTTCATAAGTGAGGTTTACGAGCAATTTTTCTTTCTTATATTATCCTTATTTATTGATTATGCTTTACTGCCTCCCAGGATGAATCAGGAAATATTTTGTCTTTTTCTCTTGTTTAGAATAATTTCCTTATGGCTGGGAAAGTCTTTTTCTTGAGTGTTTGCTAGAAATCATAGGAAGTACCAAGCCCAGATAGTTGGTATTTCCTATAATGTTTAGAAATTTTGGTAATTTATTTATTTGGGGAATTTGTCCATTTTACTTTAATTTTTTATAATTTACTAAGCACAAAATTTTATTCACTCAGTTTTTAATTATTATTTTTTGCTAGCTTTCTTTTGAACAGATTTATAGCTTGGTTCTTAGTCTTAACTATTTATGGTAGAACTCTATCTTGTAAATTGTCAGTGCTTCTGACAATTTTCCATGTAAGTGTTTAGAATTAAATATTTCACTCCATGTTCTTTAGTTGCATCTCATGAGTTTTAGCATGATACCTGTTAAATTTCAGTTTGAATATTTTCTGACTTTCATCTTGTTTTCTTTCACCTGTGAGATAATTAGAAATGTTTTTAAATATGCAACCATAAGATTTTGAAAGTTAACTTTGAAATCAGTACAAATAACTACATTATGTTCTTTATTACGCGTATTTTTTTGAGATTTGCTTTGTAGCTTAATTCATGATCATTTTCATAAATGTCCCATAGATATTGAAAAGTATGCTTGTTCTTCATTTACTTGGCATCTAATTGAGTATGTTTAGATCAGATTTGTTTTTATGGCATTCAGGTCTTGCTGAGGATGCATTTTATTTTTTGGTCTGCTTTTATATCATTGACAAATATTAACTCACTGCAATGGCAGATGTGTCCCTTTCTCCTTGCAGTTTGTTTTGACTTGGTTTTTTTTGTTTTATCTATTTGAAATATAGCATATAAATTGTGAGTTGTTATGTTCTGAATTGAACCACTTATTATTTTATCTTTCTCCAATAATTTTTGGACCTAAAACATATTAATATGTGGTATTAATACAGGTACTTAACTTTATTGTGGGTACTTTTACCTAACTTTTTTTATCCTTTAATTTTTCCAGTTTTTTTTCTATCTCTGTGAATTAGATATATCTTTTATAAGTACCATTTAATTCAGTCTAACAACCTGATTTGGAGATTTGTTACGGTTTTTAATACCTTAACTGTAGAGTTTAACCTTACATTTACATTTGTTATTTTTACTAGTAAGTTTGCTCCCTCTTATTTTATGACTTCCTTTATCTCCTCCCTGCCCTCTTTCTTGAATTCTTTTAAGTTGAATAAATAGAACTAAGACACAGGCCCTACACTCAGTCCCCAGTACTACCAAAAAAATACTCCAAAATTGAATGAATATATTCCTCATCTTGTTTTTATTTCTGGTTCGAGAGTTTTATTTTACTATTTTTAGTAAACACCTTTGAAATGTTAATATTAATGCCCAACCTAATTAATAACCTTTACTCTCCTGAACAATACAGAGATTTTTTAAATTGGTGTTCTTATTGTTCATGCTTTTGTTATTTATATCTTGTTTATTTTTTTGGTAATTGTATAACTTAGTCACTGTTTCTGGCACTTAATATCTTTAAGTGTGTACACTTCTGCTCTTGCTTGTCAGTATTCCTATTGCATCTTATTTTTCATACACACCTTGTACACTGAGCCTGAAGGTGACTTTATATAATGTGTTAGTATATTTGGGTTTTGATTAGAAGATGTCACATGAAGTCAGAGGTGGTGTTTTCTACTTATGGCATGTCAGCAGTCAAAGTTTCTGGTTTCAGAGCTGTTCTGATTTCAGGGCTTTGGACTACGGATTCTCACCTTGTATTCTATCTTTTCTGCTGTTTCTATCTTCTTTTTGTCTTTTAGAATTTGACTCTTTATCACTCATGTTGAACTCAGGATGTAGGTTTTCTCTTATTTTTTATGCTTGTGTGTGTGTGTGGTGCTGATTTGTTGCATCTTCCATTGATTCTGGAAATATTTTAAAGATGCACAATAGATACATTTTCTCCCCTCCATCTAGAGCCACTACAAAAACAGATTTACTTGCTATCTGCCTTTTTTTTTTCTCTCTCTCCTAAAAATGGGGACTTACTATATAACCAAGGCTGGCCTCAAACTCAAGATCCTTCTGCACCCACCTTCCAAATGCTGGGATGTGCCGCCAAACCTGGCTTGATGTCTGATTTTGTTGGTAGTTTTTTTCTTTTCCTAGTTTATTCTTTCCCTGAAAATGGACCGTGCCCTGAGTTTTAGCTTTATGCAGGGATCTTAGTTCCATCCTAAAAAGGCCCCATGACCCTATTATCTGTTGTTAATATTACCAGGCCATCAAAACAAAAGTTCTAGGCCATTGGTGTTCAGTTGAAATGCCCAGGCTAGAAGCTTAAGCCCTTCCTGGTCTCCTAATCTTGCTTTGTTTCTGCTCTCAAGAGTATTTCTCTTACTTTCTTCCAACTTCATCAGTTTTAAAGAGGTATTTTACTTATTTATAGGTAGTATTCTTAGAGACTTTATTTTTTCAAGAGTGTTTCAGGACCTCTACTAATAGATAGAGAAGCCTGTCTTTTGCCTTTTAATGTGAATATTCTCTTGTCATGCTTTAATCAAGTCATGTTTTGTTCCTCCTGTGACTTCTTACAGGTGAGCAGTAGGTCATCCAGTCCTAGTGTCAGAATGATCACTACCTCAGGACCAACGTCAGAAAAGCCAACTCGAAGTCATCCATGGACTCCTGATGATTCCACAGGTGACTAGTCTACCTCCTCATTGCATCATGAAATTCATTCATCATGTTATGTCCACTTAGTACTGCCATTAATCTTTGTAATTATATAGTAGTTTAGCTTTTCATATCAATAAAACTACCTATTTAGGAATAAATTTTAAAAGGTCTTTTTGAGTATTATGACAGAGACTGCCTTGACCTCTGTTTTTCCCTACCAGGTATTAAACATGTATTTTGAAAACAGATTGGGTGCTTTCTAGTTAAGAAGCATATTGTGTTCTCTTTTTTTGTTGTTGTTTTTAAACGTTGTAGTCTTAATACTTTAGTCTGTGGTTTTCCTGTTATGACCCATCCTTCTGGGAGATAGTAGTAAAGTCATTATCTTTCAAATAACTAAAATCAGAATGCTAAAAAATAACTGTCATCCTCCTCATCTTGGTCTTTTATTTGAAGGCCACAAGATATTTTCTGCCTTTAGTGAGAAAAAATTTCTGATTGTTGACCTTTTGAATTATTTTTAGCTGCTAGGAACCTTTGAAAGCCTGTTAGAGTCATAAACCTCCCCATCGTAAATAACTTGTCACAGTATTAGTATTAATATGTACCTCTCTGAAGATAGAGATGGAATAGTTTCATTGTGGTCAAACAGGAAATGATACGCTCTAGAGCTATGAGCTTTTTCCTAACATACCTTAATAAATACCCAGCAATAAAAAAATTAAATGAAAATTTTTATTTATATTTTATTAGGTCAGCGAGGGAAAGATAACCCTTTTATACCCTGAAAAATTAAACCATTTGAGATTTTGCATAAGATGAGCTATGTTATTAATAGTTGCAATTAAATTGAAATTTTAAAGTCAGCTTTCTGTATTCAGAAACTAAAATATGATTCAGATATTTATAAGTACTTGGCATGGTTTAGTAAAGTTTATAATTTAATTTAAAAAATTAAGTGGGTGGCTTTTCTCCATGTCATATACGAGAGAACCATGTTTAGCTAGGGGTGTACTCTCTAGTTTTAGTAAGTTTAAATTTAGTGGTGGCAAAAACTCCTAAGTTTCATCCCCAGCACAGCTCACCACTACTCAGCACATGTGTACAGTTCATCATAGACTTTTCCCAGATGGAGGAGAGGGAAATGCTCTCGCCAGATTTTGTCATTAGTGTTCAGGTGACACCAGGTAATGCTAATGTCATTACTCCCTGATACTGTAGCATTTGCTGAGGTCCACTATTCAGATTAGTGGAGCTTCCTAACTTGAGCCCAGACTAACCTAGACATGTGAATTAGCAGTGTGACACATCATCAATTTATAGGAATAAAATCAAAGTTCTTTAACTGTTTCCTGTACTGCTGTGTTTCCACTTCACCTATACTCCTATCCTTCCAAACCCTGTCTCATTTTTTTCCTTTTCCAGTATCTAAAAATACCACAACATACCAATAGCTAAAAATATTACTTGGATCCAGGTTGCAATGCCAACTAAATTTTGTTCAGTTCAGATATATCCATACATAGAATAATTTGTTCCAATAGAATAAGTTATAGGGGGAAGTTAGGTAAAATCTTTTTCTTTAAAAGCCCATTGACTCAGAAAAAAATAGTATAAAATAAGTTAAAATAACCTAGCTAATAAGATTTTTTAATTAAAAAGAGAAGTTTCTGTGTAAGTTGAAAGAAAACTAAAGAGCATTAACAATCTGATAATCACAGCAGATAATGAATGCTCTTGAGTTTTTATTTACACTGTAATGGGTATGAAGAAAGACATAAATAACCAGAGGAGCAAGTAAGAGAAATGCCTGCACTCGTAGAACGAGCCACAGACTCACTAAAGAGGGGGCCTCTTCTGTGCTTCGTACTTTGTAAACATAGACATAGGAGACATTGGCCTGTCCGTATAACCATGAGGAGTCATGGTGCTCATTAACAGTGCACTCCTCTGCAGTATAGTAGACTACTAAGTTTACAGTACAAGCTTGAGAACTTTAGCAGTGGAGAGAAAATAGGTAAATGAGACCTGGCATGGCCATAACTTATTTGTGCACTTTTCTCCTACATTAGAAGAGAGAAGGCAGTGTTCCACATGAAGGGAATTCACCCTTAAAGAACAGGAGATGGAAACAAATGTCATCTTTGGGAGAACAGGAAAGAAACTTTGCCTAATGTAACCATACCAGTGTGAGTCCTAAAGTTCAGGAGAAAAGAACATTCTTATTTGGAATTGTAACATTAACAAAATAAGTTCCCCTGGAGTAACCTTGCTATCTTGTGACCAGTTATTGCTACTAGAAACTGGAAGCTCAGTGTTGGTTTAGATACAAGTGAGAAGGTGAAATATGTTTCTTGGTTTTAGAAAAAAAATGAAATTCAGTAAAGGACTTTAAATACTCCGGTAGAAGAGCATCAGTGATTTGAATTAACACAGTGCTTGGGCTTTTTTCCACCCCCAGTGTACTGTAAAACATTGATACTTAATTCTAAAATATATATATCAGATACAGGTGCTGACATAATGAAATGTATGTCAAATTAAGGTACTAGTGATTTAAGAAAGAACCTCAGAGTAGAAATGTAAAATGGAGAAAACCTTTCCAAGATACTTAATTTTTTCCTATTTAGTCAGGGGATGTCATTTTTGGTCAATGTTACTTTTGTGGAAAGTAGTGATTGCATGGGATCGTAGCGTAAAATGCTGCGATTGGGCTTGGGGACAAGGTTGGTCAGAGAACTAGCAAATCGAGCACTTCAGAAAGCATTTATATTATTAGTGTATGATTTTAGACTGAATACCATAAGGTTGTGCAAACAACCTCTACTCTTTTTCTTTCCCTGTGGCACTGGTATTTAAGGAACAATACTTTTTCCCACTCGGGAGATTGAGGCAGGAGGATTGGGTTCGAAGCCAGCCTGGGCTACATCATGAGTTCCAGGCAAGCATGAGCTACATAGTGAGTCTGCCTCTAAATGGATTAGGACAGGGGTGGTAGCTCATGCCTATAATACCAGGACTGCAGTCCAGGCCACCCTGGGCAAAAGGTGCAAGACCTAATCTGAAAAATAACTAACACAAAAAGAGCTCAAGGCATGGTTCAAGTAGTAGAGAATCTGCCTAGCAAGCATGAGGCCCTGAGTTCAAACTCAGTACCATCAAATAAATCAATAAATAATATTTTCCTTTTGAAATATAATTACCTATTTAAAGTTGTCTTTTCTTTCTTGCTTTACCTCATTTAGTCTTTACCTCATCTTGTCTAATTCAGTTTACTGATTTTAGTAGTTACTAATTCCTTGCATGCACATTCTCAGTGGCTTTGTTTTGCTGGGGTTTTTTTAGACAGGGTCTTACTATGTAACTCAAGCTGGCCTTCAACCTGTGATCTTCCTGCTTCTGCCTTCTGAGTGCCAGAATTACAGGAATGCTCTACCATGCCCAGGTCAATGGCTTTTTTGAATAAAGAACCTATGGTGCTGGAGTGCAGCTCAGTGGGAAGCACTGCGTTCAATCCCCAGCACTGCAGAATTTTAAAACAGAAACTCAGGATTATCAGTCATCAGTAAATTGGGAGGTTACTGAGCCACTCCATGTCCTTAGTTTTTCACTGAATTGAGTGCAGTGCCTCCACTGTTATCCTGCCCTTGCCTTTATCCATACCATTCTTTCAAGTGCTATGGCAGTTTTACTTGTTTTGAAACATAAACAAAAGCTATACATTCGAACTGTTCCATAAGATTGGCTGATTGTTTGAATTAATCAATGCAACTATTCGAGGCATGAGATTGAGCTACAGTTCCTTCTAAACCTCGGTTTTGTTCCATATGGTTCCTATGTGTAATATACTGTCATCAGTAACAGCTCTCATTTTCTTCAGTGATTCCAACTAGGGGCAGGATGAGGCTTTCTCATTAGGATCTGTATAAATTGGAAACAGTGCACTGGAAGAGAATGCTTGCTTTTTCTCTTTCCCTGTGTATACTCAATAACAGAGTTGATCTGGCCTAATGGTAAACTGAGCATGAGAAAAAGAGGGTCAGTTAGACCTGAATTTGAAATATAAAGCTCACATATTAATTAACAAAGCCTTATAAGCTTTAACAGACTGTGTTCGTATTTAGTTTGTTCTATTCAGTTTGCAGCCAAATTAAATTGTAGAATATTACTGTATTTTAATTACCTATACTTTTTACCTTTAGAATTCATCACCAGTAGCAGTAACTTTTTTTGGATAGCTTATTTACTTTCGGGGAGAAAATTATGTCTCATGTATGCTTTCTTGCTTGTTGTTTATAACTAATTGTGCCAAATGATAACATGCTTGAATTAGTAAATAAAATGCTTGAATTCCAGATACCAATGGGTCAGATAACTCCATCCCAATGGCTTACCTTACACTGGATCACCAACTGCAGGTAAGAATAATGTTTACAGTGGAAGTTTTACCTCTTCTTTTAAAGAGTTCTATCTAGGAGGCTACTTTATGTTCCTGTCATTTGTTGGTGCTTGCAGTTGCTTTTCTTGAACTTAAAAATCAAGTGAAAAGATTTTCAGTTAAGTTAATGAGTTTAGGATTGGCAGAGTCATGTGTTTTTATTCTAACAGTCATCTTAAAATACTTGCATATCTTTGTTCAAGACTGCCAAGCATAGCATTTTCACTCTGAATTTTAGTACAGTAAAATAGACGTTCATTCCTATTTAATACAGTTTGTTATGTGTTCTTATGTTCATAGTGACTGAAAAATGTAAGTAATTCACTTTAGTGCTTCATTCTGAGTATGAGAGCTGTACACATCTCTTGGGAGTCAGACATGGTAGGATACACCTACATTCCCAGCTATTTAGGAGGCAAGAGAATTGATTACAAGTTCAAGGCCAGCCTATGGAACACAGCTCTGTCTCAAAAAGAAAGAGAAAAAGAAACAAGATGAAGAGCATCTCAGTATTATACAGTTTGGGAAACTGAAATGTCATACCAGAGGCTTCAAGTACTCTGGTCATAGTTCTCTGGGACTAGCAAGTGCCAATTTAAGTTCTGAGTTAACTCTGACTAAAGAACATGAGATTTCCTAGGACATGGTTTAATACTTTTTTTTAAAAGATTATGCTTTTAGTGCTTTAAAACATCTCTGTCTTAATTCTCAGATACTGAGGTTTTTTTTATTATGTTTTAACATTCTTGGTTTATTTTCAGCCTCTTGCACCGTGCCCTAACTCCAAAGAATCCATGGCAGTGTTTGAACAGCATTGTAAAATGGCACAAGAATATATGAAAGTTCAAACAGAAATTGCATTGTTGTTACAGAGAAAGTAAGTCTTTTATGAGTAAAAATAAAAACGCACCATTATTTTCAATTTGAAATATACTGAGGGTACAGCATTGACATGACATGACATGACAACTTTGATTTATGTTAAGTTTTAAGCATCTTTTTACTATTTTTTGTGTAAAACTCGGCCCTTTTGTATCACATTATGTGATTACTAAGGAAAACAAACTGGTGCTATATACTCAAGCGTTTTATGTTAAAAGATAATTTGGATTTATTGTTTCCTGGACCATAGGTAAAATAATGTGTTTTTCTAATATTCAGTTGTGCTTTATGTTAGAGACTCGTAGATAACATTCTTTCCAAGCGTATGTCTAGGAGCGTAGCATTACTTGTTACAAGGCTATATTTCATATATGCATATCTATTTTGGGGGGGAATATTACACATGTTTTTCTGAGAGTTACAGAAACTGCTTTCCTCCCATTTTTAAGAAACTCAGTCCAGGTATGGTCATGCACAGCTGTAATCCCAACTTTTAGGAAGCTGAGCTAAGGGGTTCACAAATTCAAGACCAGCTTGTCTCAAAAAGAAAGAAACAGAGAGAAAGTGGAAGAGAGAGAGAAAAGAAAAGAGAAGAGAAAGGAAGAAATCTAGTCCAATTTCCATACTAACATGTACACAGTTTAAAAAAACAAAAAAAGGGCCTTCAGTTTTCCTAAGCATGATTCTCATGGAATTTTATACTTATGAAGCTGATCGATGGGTGGCTAACTAAAATCAAATGTTGTAGGAAAAAAATCTTATTTGTATATTGTGATAGATTAAAATTAATCTAAATAAATGAAAATTCTTGCTTTCCAAAGTAATTTGTGAAAAATTTTCTCATTGTGCTTCAAAAAAAAGGAAAATAGTTTTATCACAGTTGATTTTTATTTTATTACTGTGTTAATATTTAAATGAAATCAACTTGGTGTCTCAAAGATAAGCCTAAGTAGGAAACACCACAATCCCAAAATTATAGAAGTAATTGTGGAACTTCTGGCAGTTTGTGTTGGGGAAAACCCTACATTTCTTATTTCACATATTCATCCTGAAAAAACAAATGGGCGATGTGTGAAAACCATGACAGTTTTAATTAATTTTAAGTACTTTAAATGAGAAATACTAGGAAGTTATTTTGCTTGAGGGCTTTTTATTACTCATTTATATCTTGTAAGCTCACTTTAGGACGTAATAGTTAATATTTCCAAAATAAAAGAGACTTAAAGAAGTTTATTAGATTATAAAAGACTAAGGGTCTTTCTTGAAAATGTTTACAAACATAAGTGGTTTAAATGTGGCACTTTGTATTCTTCATACTGGGTTTAAAATAGGAAAGGCCTTTGAGTGGGATAGCATCTCTTTTAATTAGCTTGCTAAAGTTCTGTTAGCTACCACTTAGTGCTGTAGCTAAATAGGATTGTGACTTCAGGATATGAATATGAGTACAGGAGTGTAAAGTAAAATGTGAATTATAAAAACTTCAAGTGTTATAACCAGATAGAACCTTTGTTTTCTTCCTTCCTACCCAAAATGAGAATATCAAATGAAATTTTCTGAAACTTGTTTTACCATTTTATCTGCTTCACTAATTGTCTAACTGCAGGTACTTCTTGAAAGGATTATGGAATTAGTATGGTGGTACCAGAGGAGTGGGTGATAGTTTCCATTCTAACCATAATCTTATTTGAGTAGTGTACTCAAGATGCAGAATGATAGAGTAGGAATAAAAGTCTCATTAATTGAGCTTCCATCATCAGCTAAAGGTATGAATTTTTCTATCATGTATAATATTTACTGTGTGGTATTTGTTTTTAGGCAAGAACTCGTTGCAGAATTGGACCAGGATGAAAAGGACCAGCAAAATACATCTCGTCTGGTACAGGAACATAAAAAGCTTTTAGATGAAAACAAAAGCCTTTCTACTTACTACCAGCAATGCAAAAAACAACTAGAGGTCATCAGAAGTCAACAGCAAAAACGACAAGGCACTTCATGATTCTCTTGGACCATTAAATTTTAAAATATGCAAAGAAAGATTTTTTTTAAAAAAGAAAAGCCCTTAAGACAATTCAGGAGTGTTAGCTTTTTGGCGTGTTCTGAATGTCAGCTGCCTACGTTTGCTGCACTTGTTACACCGTACATTTCCTTCTCGTGGTGGATATGCAGTTCCACTACCTCATTGCATAACATGATGGCATCTATGACCTGGATAAGCAGCAGTTCTCAACTCCAAAAACAGATGCAGTGAACTGTGGCTGTATATGCATGCTCATTGTGTGAAAGCTAGCCTAACAGGACGTGGGGTAGCAAACTAGCTGCTATCTGCAAACATCGTGCTTTTCTCCATATTAGAGGTGGAACCTCAAGAATGATTTTGTTCTTCTATCTCATCTCAAAAAACTAATAGTTGTTTTTTCCAAAAAAATGGTATTCACCAAGTCAGACAGGGTATTATAAATCTAGAATAATTGGTGGTCCATTACAGAAATATAGAACTTTAGGGTTAGTTCAAAGTAAGGGCTTTGATGCCAGCACATCCTTGTATCAGTACTGAACTTTGTTCCATCTGTAAAATATTTGAAGGTAAGTGGCTGCTGCTGTATTTAACGAAAGCAATTTTGCCAGTTTTCATTAGACTAAACATTGTCTGTGATACATTGAGCAAAATGGGGCTCTTTTTTTAACATGTAAAATTTTTAATTTTGTGTGTGTGTTGAAACTATAAAGTTTTTACAACTCCAGTGTTAATATCTTGAATGAAATTAGAAGACACAAAAACATGATCTCGCTTAAATGACTCTAATGATTACTGGATTGTTTTACAATACATGTAAAAAAACTGAAGAGAAATAACAGAAAACAGAAATAGTTGCTCCAGCTAAAAGGCTTGGATTTAGATTTCTTTTTATGATACCAAATGATGATAAACAAAGCAAATCTGGAGAAGTTAGTAAGGAAGTTTAGAAAAAGTAAAAGTAAATTCATCAAGTATCCTACTATGTACTCTAGATATTAGAGTAATAGATTTTTGTTACTATTGTTGCAAGCCCGTTTTGGAATGCCTGTTGCCTTTCAACACTTTTAAGAGGATTTCAAAACTTATAAAGAGAATATTTATATTGTTAACATTAACTTTGTTACCAACCTTCAAAGTAACTTAAAGGTAATAATAAAATGTCATTAAATGATAAGGTACTGAAGCTCTATTTTTTCAGTTGATGTTAAAATAAGTCATGTTTTGATACCTGTCCAAGGGTGTCTTTTAAATGAGGATGCCATTAGCCTTGTTTTTATAGCACTGGTGTTTTATGAAAAGAAAGAATGAAAGCAGAATTTCTCTGAACACTAGGATTCTATCATCATTGTATTGTCATTTTTGCCATGTTTCAGATGAGCAAGTTGATCTAAGAAGTTATCAGAAACTATTCTTAAAAATGTTAAAGCGGGTAACTGTTCCTTTCATTATTTTTTTTCCCCTAAGTTTTATAATAAATCCCTCTGTATGCAGGCAATAAAGGCAAAGGGCAGCTTCTCCTAAGCTGTGTCGTTTTTAGCCATTTCAAAACCTATCATTAGAAAGCTTCTGGGAACTAAATGTCTCTAGCACTTAACTTAAATAAAGGAGGATTATTATTCCCAAATACTTTTATTACCTCCATGAAATTAATATTGCCCTCAACATATTACAGTGAAATAAAATATGCATTGAAAATAAGGGAAAGCATTACTTATCCCTAGCATTGCTGCCTGTGTGCACATCTGTCACTCCACCAAAAGGGACCTAGTCACTGTTAGTGGCTTTTCTAATTATCTCAGAGTGTGAGATATCCAAGCGTGAATGCTAAGGCCTGACTTCTCCATTAGTATTTAGCATTAAAAGTTTCAGATTTCATTTCTAGTCATTGATGTATTTTGCTATAGCGTAACAGTTAAATGGGAAATTTATCCTTATCATCATTATTACTATTATGTGTCCCTTCATTAAAAACTATCCAAATAGGTAAAAATGGAAGAAAATAGGTAAATGGAAGAGTTAGCATGGTACCAAATGCAAAAGGCTGTTGAACCGTTGCTTGTTTGTTTACAGTAATAATTCCTTGGACTTGCCAGTACTGTAGTATCCTGGACATTAAGTGCAGTTCAGCCTTACTCTGTTTTTAAGTAGTTGCATTGCCAGTCTCACACTTTCAAGTTCCAGTTATCCTTAAAGATGGGAAAAAGGATACCGTGCAGAATTAAAATCCATAGCCAGGTTCATCAGTGTTCACTGATCAAACCTTCAGACAGACATGTTTCAAGGAGCCAAACTTTCTCATAATTCTAGTTTTATAGTTCTAATTCTCATTTTTTGGGTGGAAATAGCAAAAAGGCAAACAAGTTACTAAAATGTCATTGTCTAAGAAATACAGAAAAATCCCTGAACAAATACTAATTACATTTTATTCTTGCCTTCAGGGAAAGAAAGCAAAGCTTTAACCTAATCTTGAGGAAAATACTCCTCAGCAGTAAAAACTGCTTTTTTGGGTTGAATAAAAATCAGTTAAGAATACTTACCCTATAGCAGCGTAACATATTGAAGACTTGTATTTACAAATGTTTGACTTTTTTCTGAAGTGTTTTAGAGTATCGAATGTCTTTTTTCTTCAAGTTTCCTGTCATACTCCCAATATCACCTCTTGCCTATAGCCAGAAATCCCAGGTCTTTGCTGTGAGCATTTTGTTTCTTTCTGTAAATGTGTATGGTTTTCAGCACCCAACTCCTCTCTTCCAGTGGTAGTAAGTCCTACTTCTACTTCTGTCATTCAGAACATTTTATGTAAAATGGTGTAATGCAGAAACTCTTGTGCATACTGTGTAATCGAAGGAAGCTTTCTAGACTTATTTTTGTTTTTAATAAAATTCAGATTGTTATTCTAAACTGGTATGTAAAAATGGTGAGTGGCTTCTATCAGCAAATGAACTATGAGGTGTTCTGCTCTAGCATGTTTACCTAACACAGGAACTAACAAAAACTGAAACATCAGTATTCCCACAATATTAACACTGTTGTACCATAATCATGACTTTTGAGAGGCTAGGAAACTAGCCAGTTAACACTTCATTTCCTCCAGTTCAGAATTTTGGGTTAAATGGATGCTCTACACAATTCCATGAACCTTAATTTGTATGAAGCACAGCAAGTGAGTCTTCTCATTAGAAATCTGATTTTCTATGGATTTCTAAATTACATTAAGTATTTCATTTATCAGCTAGCTCCCCCATCATACAGACATGCACACATTTTTATAAGACCTGCCTTTGTGTTTATAAATCTATGCATTCCTTTGCTCGTTTCTTCACTGTTTGTGATCATCCACTATAAGCAGAACTTCTGCTACTAGTGCTGAAATATGTGTCCATTTCAGTTAGTGACAGGTGGATCCCATCTGTAACCCAAGCTACTCAAGAGGCAGAGATCAGGAGGATCGCAGTTCAAGGCCAGCCTGCACAAAAAAGTTAACAAGACCCCCAATCTCAACCAATAAGTAGGCAAGGTCCTATCATCACAGGTCCTTGGGGATTGAAAATAAAAGGATTACAGTCCAGGCCAGTGCAGGCAAAAAACATGAGACCCTATTTGGAAAATATCTAACGCAAAAGGGGTGGGGGTGTGGCTCAAGTGGTAGAGTGCTTGCCTAGCAAATGTGAGGTCCCAAATTCAAAACTAAAAACAAAGTTTTTAGTACCACCAAACTAAAAACAGTGCCACCAAAACTAAAAGTTTAAAGCTTACTAAGTTTTGGCAAACATATACACTTCTGAAACCACCCCAGCAATCAAAGTCCTGAACATGTCCACCACCCCTAAAAGTAAACTTTTACCTAAATGAAATCATACAATATATACTGATTTTTTAGGCCTTTTTTCTCCCACTTGAGTAGGGTTTTTTTTTTTTTTCTTGAATTCCTTTGAGAAAAACAATTAAAAACCATTTCTAGTAATGACTTGAAAATCATTGTAGGTCTTTGAGGGAAATCCTAGCTTTATTTAGAAGGCTTTAGATGTATTCAGTGTGGCCTATTTGTGCAATGTCATCATCTTTGGAAACATTTAAGACCATTTCATGTTTATGCTTTTACAGAATCTCAATACTTTTTTCACAAAATTCCCTTGAATTTGTATGTCAGAGTAAGCATGTTTATATTTGTATTGCTTTAGGTGTTAAAAATGTGAGTGGGCACAGCAAATATCACATTGGTAGGTCCATGTTAAGTTTTAAGCAAATACTGTTGACTGGTTTAATTTTAGAAAATAAAAAGTTTTCTGCTTTTTTTTGTTGTTGGTTTGCAGCTGTTTCCGGCTTCCTCAAAATCTTAGAAAAGAAGGCATTATCACATCGCAGAGCAATATGCAAAACACTTTTCAGTAACAGTGAAAACAGTCTTCTTGAAAATACAGCGTCTGGGACGGTGCTTTCAGTGGGCCTTGCTGGCATAGTGAAACACATAAAAATCAGAGCACTATGGCAGATCTTGTGGTGCTTACACGGGACTGTGCTCCTTTTCCATCATGATAGACTGCTGCTCTGTTTCTCATCCTCTGCCAGGCAGTCTTACCAAAACTGAATCTCTTTTTAAATGGCCTACCCTTTATATCATCAATTCTTTCAGGCAGCCTTGGAAATCAGTGACTTCTGAGTAGGCCTAATGGGTCATCCAAAATATATAGGGTCATTTTTCCGTGACACTTTCTGAGAAATGAGTAGTTACCTGAGTTTCATGGTACTTTTAAGTTTCTAAGTCAGAAAAATGCATTCTTTATAATGTAATTTAATAGTCAATCATATCTTAGAGATGCCATATTGCAGCAGGTTCATTGCTTTAAAAGCTCCAGAAATTACTGGATATTTATCTTCTGAGAAGCAAAAGTAATTTTTAAAATGCAGTTACTTTTCAGATATGGTTTGTTTCTATTTGTGGGTACCTTATCTTCAGTTATTACAAGAGTGACTATATCAATCATCATTTCATTCATTTACCAAAAGAAGAAACCTGAAAATTGTGTAAGTTCTTTCATGGTCAGAGAAGTGATGATATTCAGTACCCCTATCACATGCTCTAGAATCCTTTTAGCTTTTAATCAAGTTTCCTACAGAGGTCCCCAACTGAATATCCATCTAAATGTAATAAACATATTACTTGCAAACAAATCTACTGATACTTTTATCATAAAACTGATGTCTGGTTACATAATTCCGTCTTCCTGTTCATGGTTCTAAGTTTTACATGTGGAAAAATTGAAGTGTGATACAAATTTCCTTGATCTAAGCTAAACATTTTTTTTTCATCCACATCAGAAAATGCCTTAATCCCAGTGTTCCAGACCAAGTACACTTCTCCCTGTATTCATTAGGACTTAATTTTGGCTACTGCCCCAAAGAACGTCCTAAACAAGATAACAGTTCTTTATTTCTCCTAGAAACAGTCTAAAGTGCTATGCATCCCAGCCAAAGGGCAGAGAGGAAGAGCAGTGGAGGTACAGATACAGCACTTGCACTCACATCCTTTGACCAAAACTCAGCCACATGGCCAACCCCTAGCTGCAGAGAAGCTGAGAACATCTTTATACTGGGTAGCCCCATGTTGAACTGAGTTTGATGGTTGGTTACAAATGGGGGAGGGAAAGTTCACAAAAGTCTACTGGTCCTTCATGGAAATAAAATAATGCCACTGAATGGAACAGTTGCAACAACTCTGAGAGAAAGATAAGCAGTTGCTGTTTTCAGATGTTGACACTATGTTGCTTTTTCCCTTTTAAAAAAATTTCCCTTTTAAGCTGAGTGGAGTGGTGCACACCTAGAACCCCAGCAGGAGGACTGTAATTTCAAAGCCATCATACTGAGTGGGAGGCTAGCCTAGAATACATGGCAAGACCCTGTCTCAAAATAATAAGCCATTCTTTCCCTTTTCTTTGCACTAAAAACAAATCCAAGAGAGGAGAAAACCGTAGACAACACTGACCGTGTTTCATTGGCAAGGGACATTCACAGATCAGCTAAGCTGGACCATGAATCAGGCCCCTTTGTTATGGC